CACACACACACACACACACACACACACACACACACACACACACACACCCTTTGACAGTTGATTCCCAATGAACTTTTCTTTCTAGCCAAGGAGTGTTTAAGTTGCCTGGTTTCACTGCACCTTCTTGCTTAGAAGTGTGGATAAAAAGTATCATTTCTACAGCTATCTCCAGAAACACTGGAAGTTGAAAAGAATCAATGTAGCGCAACATATTCTGCTTGAGTCAGCATTTTGACATTTTTTTTTTTTTTTAAAAAGCAATTGCCCACTAAAAATCTACAGTTTATTAAAATTAAGTTGTGCAGGAGATATGGTGCATGTTATCCCAGTATGGTGGTGGCCAGAGGATGGCAAAATTGAGGGCCGCCTTGGGGTACACAATCTATCTCTAGAGAGAAAGAGGGAGGAGAATTTCATTGTAACTGTAATGTTCGCTTAACTGAGCTGAGGGGTAAACTGTACTTCGAAAGTTCTTCAAAACAAAAAACACAGTAGTTTTCCTAAATAGCTATCTCTTGGTAAGATAAAAAAAAAAAAAAAAAGAATCTAGTAATATATATAAATAGCAAACTTTAATTTTAAAGGTAAGTTTGGACTTAACAAAAAACATGTTATGCCCCTGGGAGGTATTTGTTTTTGCAACCAACTTTGATTCTTTTGTGAATTAATGAAATACAGACCAAAGGAAGTTAAAAAAAAAAAAAACCAAAAAAAAAAAAAAAAAAAAACAAAACAACAATCATAAACAGAAGTTCTTATTTTGTACCTTGGCAACACGAATCTTAACTTTGGGCCCAGCATGAAGGCTCAATAAAGGTATAAGTTGTTTATAATTTGGACATACCATTTGCCCTTCAGCTTTAATAGTTTCGGTGTCTTCAGGAAATAAAACCAAAGCCGGATCCCAGCAGAACTTATGAAAAGACGCACAAAGGGCTATTATTACCATCACCGAGAGGCTTCGGTAGGCTTGCCACCAGCAGCTGTGGCAGTCATGGCTATGAAAGCCATGATTAAATATCTCTGGGCTAGTTCGTTTCTTAGTTTCAGTTTATCTTAAAAACACCATCTTGTTTTCTTCGGTAAGAACGTCCAACATTAGCTTGCCCTGGCCTTTCACTTCCTCAGGGTAAAACTCAGCCTCCTTACGGACTCCTAATCAATAGATATTTTAAGATGACATCCGGTCTCTCTTTCGCATCGCAAACCTGTCCGACAAGAGGCGGTGACTGAGCTAGTACCTTCAGGTAAACACCGGGCCACCACCCCTGCCTCGAGTCATTTTTCTCGTAGTTCTTCGCTGAGTTGTTTTCTTAACCTAGATTGCCGGCGTGCGGAGCTCGGGAGAACTCGGCAGAGATCGGGAAAACTCGGCGGCCAGGTGAGCGCCTCGCTCGGCGGCGGCGGCGGCGGCGGCGGCGAACCAGCGGGCTCGGGGGCGCGCGGGCTCGCGGGCGCGCGGAGGCGGAAAGCCAGGAAGCGCACCGGCAAGCCGAGCCCGGCGGCGGCGCGGGCAGCCCGGTGGGGCGGGGCACGGCAGCCGAAGGGGCGGGCTCCGGGCGTCGTAGTCACGCTCGGCCGCTGCTGTCCCCTCGTCGGGACCCTTGGCCATGTCCTGGCGCAGCGTGGCTTCGGCGGGGAGGCGGCTGGTGCGGAGCGGGAGCACCTTGGCGGTGCGGCGCGGTGCGGCTGGAGCTGCGGGTTCGGGGTACGCGGCGGGCGGGGCGGGACCCTGCGGTGAGCTCGCACCGGACGCGTTAGTCGGAGCTTCGCACACCGCGTGTGGTTCTTAGCGCAGCGTAGATCCGGGCGAGCCCAAAGAAGGTGTTCCTGGCTGTGAGAACTATGTCGCTCTTCTTTTGATGCTAAGCCTTGGCTCCTGTCTCAGAAAGTGAACAAGACTTGCAGCTAGTAATTCTGGCATCCTGTAGATGTGGTTTCTGGCTCGATGGGAGCGTTGCGTTCCTTGGCTTCCCTCCTTGGCGTACCCTGGGCTGGCGCACCAGCCGTGACCAACCTGGCCTGGCCTAGGCAGCTGTCAAGGCTTTTCAGCATCATCCACAGCGCATCGATTCCTCCACTGTCTCTAGATTTCTCTTCTGAAAGCGCTGATCACCAGGTGTCAACCCTTTGACAGGTCCTTAGAACTGTTTCCTATTGGATAGGGCAAAGCAGGGTATATCCTGCTTTGTCCATCTGCCATCTGTTAGCAGGTGTTCTATAAGTGGAACATAACTAGTTTAGTGCTTTACCAGTGTTGAGGTGAAGTATTTATTGTGCGTTTATTCGTGTCTGCCCCTTAGCTAATCTAGAAATTGAAGGGACTGCCTCAAGAACGGAGTGCCTTTCTGGAGCTTTTTCAGAGAAATATTTCAGAATGTGCTTCCTCTGCCCTCTTGTTTCCTTAGAACTAAGTTCATCCGTTGTAAACGTACAGGTTTAAGGAGGAGGTAAATGCGAAATTAGAGATGAAAAAGATTTGATTTCAGAGTTGAAAACCCAAGTAGACTGCATTGGTGCCATCCAGCACTCTTTGAGGCCAAGGACTCTAGCCTTTTCTTCACTGCTTTGGACTTCACAAACTCAGACAAGTTTTCTGTTTTTGCTGTTGATTTTTCAACACAGGGTTTCTCTGTGTAGGCCTGGTTGTTCTGTACTCAGTTTGTAGACCAGGCTGGCCTCAGACTCAGAGATCAGCTTGCCTCTGCCTCCCGACTGATGGGATTACAGGCATGCGCCACCAAGCCCGGCACTCAGCCAGCTTTTTTCTCCAAGCTGACTCCTCTAAAGCAGGACCAAAGGGCAGTCCTGCAAGCCTCCCACTCACTCTCCACCGGGAATAAGCACACACGTTTTTTTGTTGGTTGGTTTGTTTGTTTTTAGTGGTGTCCTTGTTAATCTGTTGGGGAACGAGGATCTATAATGATGAACACACATTCCGTTGCAGTGACTGCTGTCTCTAACTCATCTTTGTTGTTACGGAAGGTGGCACCTTATTGCAGCTTATGCGAAGTGTACGAGAATGCCCATGTAGAGCAGACATTCATTATCCAGCGCTGACATGCACCGGAAAAGGCCATTTAATGTGGATTCACTCAAAAACAGCACAGAAACGTCCTATGATTTAAGACATGCTTTGACGGACCTTTAAATTTTAAACTTAAAATAGTTTACATTTATACTTAACACAATTAGCTGGGCATGGTGGCACATGCCTTTAATCCCAGCATTGGGAAACAGAGGCAAGAGTATCTCTGAGTTCCAAGTCATCTTGGTCCACGTAGAGAGACCCTGTCTCAAAAACAAAACAAAACAAAACAAAACAAAACAAAACAAACACAACAAACCAAACCCACAACAACAACAAAAATTTTAAAAACTATTTGAACTTTAAATTCTTCATCTTCACGCTTATTCCTTAGACTTTTGAGCAGTTCTCTGTAGCACATATCTTTTTTTTTTATTTTTTGAGAGATTAATAGTTTGTGTCATGTCTAATTTGCTCCAAGTATGTCATCAGGCCTTGCTTAACTGATCAAAAAAAAAAAAAATGAGTGAGGGAGGGGAAAAAGATCCTAGGATTAATGATAATTAACTGGCTGCTGCTGCTGCTGCTGCTGCTGCTGCTGCTGCTTCTTCTTCTTCTTCTTCTTCTTCTTCTTCTTCTTCTTCTTCTTCTTCTTCTTCTTCTTTTTTTCTTTCTTTCTCTCTTTCTTTCTTTCTTTCTTTCTTTCTTTCTTTCTTTCTTTCTTTCTTTCTTTCTTTCTTTCTTTCTTTTAGATATCCCTGTCCAATTAGAACTTTTTTGATTTTAATTTTTTTAACAGGATCTCTTTACATAGTTCTGGCTGTCTTGGAACTCACTGTGTGAGCCAGGCAGGCCTTAGGTCACAGATCTCCACCTGCCTCTGCCTTCCAAGCACTGGGATTAAAGGTTTGTATTCACTCTTAGGTTTTATATAGTAGATGCTGAAGCAATGAGGGTCCCTGTAATCAGGATTCCTATCAAGTATTATTGACACTTACTGTGTATAAGATACAGTTTTGCTTTCTGTATATGTCAACTCATTTAATCTTCACAAGACCCTTTGAGTGGGAGTGATTATTTTTCCCACTTGGTGGATTGAAAAATTGGGAATTATAGATTATGGTGGTTGAAAACCTTAATTCCTTTGGTCTTTGCAGATTCTTTGCTTCACAGTATCCATGAAGTTTTTGTATATTTTTAGAGTTATTGTTTTACTTATATGTATGTGTGTCTGTGTGAGTGTATGCCATATGTGTGCATGCCCTTGGAGTCAAGAGGAGGTCATCATATGTCCTAGAGTTTCATATATAGGTAGTTGCTTATAAGCTGGCCTGATAGGGATTCTGGGAACTGAACCTGGGTCTTCTGCAAGAGCAGCTAGTGCTCTTAATTGCTGAGTCATCTCCAGCTCCCTACTCTCTCCCACTTCTGTATGTTTTCAGAAGAAATATAAAACATTTTATTGCCAGTGGGCAGGCTTTAAATAGGGCAGAATATTTGATATTTGGTGATTATGAATTTACCTAAGAATATAGCTGTATTGAACTTTAAACACAGAGATTGGTTTTATCGGGTAAAATTGATTGAAAGACTGCCTAAGGAAGCACATAGTTCCTGTAGGTGTTAGCAGACAAATGCTTTGTGAACTGGTATTTTGTACTGATCAAGCTTTTTCCCTGCTTTGAGTATTTGGACATGTTTGTATTTAAGGTTGTCTTCCACTGGAACCCGTATGCTTGACAGTCACCACATTAACTGTGCTGATCTTTTCCATGTGTTTTAGAATGGGAAACAGCACATCTTCATCTCTGGGGAAGTCAGCAAGTAGTCCTGTGAACCAGATCCAAGTGAGTGATGGGGAAGTTGGAGGACAAAGAAATACCTTATGCAATTCATACACTTACTCTGTGTCTAGTACTGACAAGAGTTTGGAAAATAAATTACCAAACTAGTATTTATTTTAAAAAATGCTATCAAAATTATCCTGGTGATGAGTTCTCTATCATTTTGTTAGTTAAAATTTCTGAAGTTTGTGTGATTTCTGTGTGTGTGCTATGCACCTGCCTGTCCGCTTGTATGGGAGCCACAGGAGGGATATCCTGTGTTCCTATTCTATTATTATCCACCTTTTTCTTCTGAGATAGTTTCTCACTGAACTTGGAGTTAGGCTGGTAGTCAGTGGGCCCCAGCAGTTCTGTCTCTGCTGTCCCTATCACCCCACAAACTTCCCAGTGCTGGGGTTACAGGTATGTGCATAGCCACACATGGCTTTTTATATGGATGATGAACTTGAACTCAGGTTTTTGTGTTTGTACAGTAGGTGCTCTTACCAACTGAGCCATCTCTAGACCTTTTCCCCTGACTGTTTGTTTTGTTTTAACAGTATATAGGTTGATCTGAACTGCTAAACAAATTTCTACCAGTGAGCTGCCTCTCTTTTCATTTTTTCACTTTTTCCTTTGAGGAGTATGGTTCCTCAGTTGTCCAGGCTAACCATAAACTGCTCTAACTCAGGCTGCTCTTGAACTTGCTGTGTTCCCTCAGCTTCCTGTGTAGCTGGCATTACAGGTCTGTCCTATCAGGCCTGGCTGAAATTTATTCTTAATGAAATCCATCTATGAGGCTGGAATTTTCTTTAATTTATTTATCTTTATCATTCCCATTATAAGTCTATGGTTGATACTTGAGAATCGGGCTGTTCTGAGCAAGGGTTATTTTGTGGTTTTGGCATGGGCAGCTGTTTAACAGCTTTCTGCCTTAACACAGAACCTACTGTGCAATAATTACTCCATAAATTATTCTCTTAGGGATTCTGGAGGTGGTTGCATTCTCTTGTTCTCTTTTTCATTGTCAATCTTAATTATTTCTGCCTCAGAAAATTTGTGTTAAGCTGATTGTGATGTTATTTGCCTGTCAGGCTAGCACTTGGGAAACTGAAGCAAGAGGAGAGAAAATTCAAGGCTTCTTTGGACAACATTTCCAAGATTCGTCTTTTCAAACAAAAAATGAAGACAAAAACAAACCCCCAGAATTATTCATATATATATATATATATATTTCTTCCAGCTCATAAGGCTCATATTTGTTTTCCTCTCTGTCTTCTGCATATATCTTGTTTCTGATTTGGACTGAGGGTGCAGCTTAGTGGTAGAGCATAAGCCTGGCAAAAGCGAGGCCCAGAGCTTTGCTTTCCAGGTTCACTAGAAATAAATCTGAGTTTGTTTTAGCTAACCTTACTATGTTTTGAGTAGAGCAGCAATGCAAGAAGCTTCTTGTGTGGGGCATCCTCTATTTTAAAATACAGAGACAGCAGCCTGGAGCATTTAGTTAGGATGAGCTTGACAGAAAGTGAAAAGTGATTTTGAAACTACTGTCTTGAGGTCCACTCATTTTGGAATGTCTTCATTAGTGCTCTGTGCCGTGGAGGCCCTCAGCTGCTCATCTCTGAGTCTAAATGATAGGTTTAGCATGCCTCTAACGTAAATAGCATGGTAGAAGATTCTTGGCTTCAGTTATGGTGTGGAGATTTAGGAAAGGACTATGAGCCTCCCAGCATCAGTATTCAGTGTTAGTCTGAAACGGATTCATTAGTGTAGTATTTTATCTAGGGTATGACTCAGAGAGCTCCTCACCCCTAAGGGTGAGTCTGAGTTCTGAAACATCTCGTATGGGTTTTGTACTTTGTGTTTTTGTCTTCATCCTGAAGTCACTGTTTATGCTCTACCATGTAAGAACCACCTTGGCAGATGTTCAGGCAGATGTTCAGACTTGTCCATTGAAGACCTGTGCAGATGCCAGTGCTATCTGCCCAAATCATTTAAAGGACTTGGACAACCATGCAGTTAGAAATAAAGAGCATGCCAGGTGGTAGTGGCACACACCTTTAACCGCATCACTCAGGAGGCAGCGGTGGGCAGATCTCTGTGAGTTCGAGGCCAGCCTGGTCTACAGAGTGAGTTCCAGGACAGCCAGAGTTCCAGAGAAGCCCTGTCTTGAAAAACCAACAAAGGAAAACTAACCACAAGAAAACCTCAGAGAGTATGCACACATACACCAAAGCCCAGGCACCAGGTAAAGGCCCGGAGGACAGTGTAACTGAGGTTGCTATCGTAGAGTCATTTTGGGAACTTGCTTATGACATCGGCTTTAAACCATTGGACAGGCTTTTTTTGGAAGTGGGTTTTCCAGGATAACCTGGAAAGCATAGCTTAGCACGATTGCTTTTAGAGAACAGGCTATTGTCCACCCTTGGTGAAAGCTGTGCATTTTAAGAAGAAATGATACATTTTCTTGCACCTGGAATTGATCAGCAGAAAGGAGTAAATGCCTTTTGAACACCTCTTAAATCATTTGACATGTCCAATAGAGATAAAGTGTCTGGAATATAGGGCAGGATTCATGTGGAGTCGTATCTCACTTGTTAGTCAAGAACTGCAGGTAAGTTACTTATCTTCCTCTGCACCTCAGTTTCTTCATCTGTGCAGTTTAAGTAACATAGGGTGAAAGGACCTATATTAAGATTACAGTGAAGCTGAAATGACTTCATGACATGAAGAGTACAGGGGAATATTTGCAGTCTAAGAATTGGCTGTTGTAATATATGAGAGAGAAAAGAAAAAAACAATTGTTACTGGTTTCATTCTTGGTATTACTCGCAGGCACCGTTTTGATATTTTTTTTCTAATGGCCTTCATTTGAAGTGAATCATATCCTCAATCTACAGATGCCACAAATAGATGATAGGAACTTAACTGGAGCACAGAGTTGTACTCCACACTCCAGAAAATTATATTCCTCCCACTAATTATGATTTCATCCAAAAGGTAATGTCTAGGATGAAAAGGCTCTATTTATTTATTTATTTATTTATTTATTTATTTATTTATTTGTTTATTTATTTTCAGGAAACAATTTCTAACAATTGTGTGGTGATTTTCTCAAAAACATCCTGCTCTTACTGTTCAATGGCCAAGAAGATTTTCCATGACATGAATGTCAACTACAAAGCAGTGGAACTGGATATGCTGGAATATGGTAGCCAGTTTCAAGATGCTCTTCACAAGATGACCGGAGGAAGAACTGTGAGTGCAGCCTTAGCCCTGCTGTCCCTGGTGGTGAGCTGGTAACTTGCTGCTCCCTGGACACTAGACTTGCTCGGTAGACAAAGTGAGCCTGGCTTTTCTGATTCCTGTGGGTTTCACATTGATAAGAAATGGCATTGGAGATGGCTTAAAGGTTAAGAGCACTGCTTGCTCTTCCAGAGATCCTGAGTTCAAGTCCCAGCAACCACATGGTGGCTCACACCATCTATAATAAGATCTGGTGCTCCCTTCTGGCTTTCAGGTGTACATCCAAGCAGAACACTGTATACATAATAAAATAAATAAATTTTAAAAAAAAGAAAAGAAAAGGCAGATCTACAGAGAAACCAGCCTCATAGAATAGGAAACAGCATAGTTTATTTTAATTTTTATGTTTATTTGTGTGTGTGTGTGTGTAAGAGAGAAAGAGAGACACACAGACAGAGACAGACTGGCATGAGGCAGCTAATGGTGTCATGAGTGCTTGTCTTGAGAACGTTAAGATGCTTTTGGAGGTCTTTGCGAGGTAAAATATTCCTTCCACTCTTGGACAGTACAGACCAGAATCGGTCTTTGGTTCCTGTGCTTATCTGTTTTTTAGTGTTCGCTGTTCTGGCCTCTATAATTTTGTATATTTTCTTCATGACATGAATAGTCAGCAAAATATTCATAGTTGCCATGTTCCTGTTTAAAGGTTTGTAGACGACCTTGGTAAACATGGAGAAAGAAACCACATAAACATTAATACTTACCTACCTTTCCCTTCTTCCCTTCCTTCTTTCCTTTCTGCTCAAGAACAGTTTTATTAGAGTTTAAAAGCAGTAGTTTCTTGAGAGAAAAGAATAGAGGAAAAAAAGAAGCAAAGCCACACCGTTTAAGCCAGTACTGAGGTCAGGCCCATGGGAGACAAGCAGTCATAAGGCGGGGAAGGAGGCACTGGAGCAAGCAGGGGAGCTCTAACTGTCAGAAAAAGTGTACTTAGACTCTGGCAGGTATCCAAAAGAAAGAGACAGAAAAACGAAAAAGTTGAGGCTTTCTGACTCAGGTCTTCAAAGGGCAGGCAGAACCCAGGGAACATCCTGGTGGCTCATAGGGCCTGCCTTATTTTTGTCTTTCAAAATAATTGTGGTCTGTTGGAGGAAGGGCTTTAGAATCAGATTGCCTTGGATTTGAATCATGCATCCTTTACTAATGCTATCTTGGGCAAGTGACTTCCCTCATTTCCCTCCAAAGCTGGGCTAGTTCTGACACTTACTATTGGGCCTCATTTAACTTTTGCTTATTCAACAGGTTCCAAGAATATTTGTCAACGGATCATTTATTGGAGGTGCAGTTGACACTCATAGGCTTCACAAAGAAGGAAAATTGCTGCCACTGGTTCATCAGTGTTACTTAAAAAAGAACAAGAGGAAAGACGTTGACTGATGTGGATAGTCACCAGGACCAGGAAATGTTAGTTAACGCAATAATACCTTTTACTTGTTAAGGATGTTCTAAGTGTGTGGATTACCTTCAGAAAGACTCAAAATAATTAACAAAATAAACTGCCATATTTGCTAGTTTTTGAGCATGAAAAGGGTCTATAAAACTGAAGAAGGTGGAGTTATATCAAAAGAAAGGTTTATTAGGAATTTATTTATGAATTTTACAATGAAGAGATAGTAAGCACTTGAAGTTCTTACTCCCTATAGTATCTAGGAATTAACATCTTGCATTCACTAGCTTTCAGGAGTGAGGACTGATGTATGATTTCTTTAAAATTTAATGTGGTGTAGATATGCAATAGATTGGGATATTATATCATGATAGCCCTTCATGCTATATTCTAGATCATCAGAGACATACTAAATATGTAGGATGGAAAGAAGCTTATAGTTGGAAAACCAAACTGCTAATTACTTCATAGTTACAGGGAAAACATCTCTGTTGGCAGAAGGCAAAAGGTATCAATATAGTGAGGATGAACTTTTCAAACAGTTCAGAAAGGTATTTAGTCATATTATCAGTTGGAATGTTCTACCTTCCAGAATGGGCAACAGCTACTGGAATTTCTTTTTTTCTTTTGGAGACAAGGTCATTCTTAATAGCTCAGGCTGGCCTCAAACTCACATCAGTCCCATTGCCTCAGTTTCCCAAACTTGCATTACATGTGGAAGCACCATGCCTAACCTGGAAATGTTTAAGGGAACCAGGTATTAGATGGAGTTTAGACTAAAGGTTCTCGTTATGTTTCAAATGTGCCTCATCACAGACTTCATGTGTTGGAGACACATGGCATAGATAGAGGTGGAGTCTTTAAAAAGTGGTTAATCATGAGGGCAGATGTGTTAGTTCATGTTAAAGGTCTGGGTAGTTATCACAGAAGAGTGGTTCTTGATAAAGGGATGAGTTTGGCCCCCTTAAGTCTCACACGCCTGTGCTTTTACTCTTCTTGCCTCTGCAGTGTCATCGTGCAGTAAGAAAATCCTCAGCAGATGCTGGTGCCGTAACTTCAAGCTTCCCGATTTATGAACTATAAACAGCAAATCTCCTCTTCATAAATTAGTCAGGTATTCTGTTTGAGCAGCCCAGATGGATAAGACTATCTCTTCATATAGTTGCCACTTATAATGTTACTTTACCATTTCCTAACTAGGAATACACTGTTCAAACTGATTTAATTTCAGATAAACTTAGCAAACTAAAATACCCTTTAAGAAGTAATTATTTTAAAAGCTTGAAAATATTTCCAATAGTTTGCTAATCTGGTCTAGAATATTTTATATGTCTATGAAATAATGCTTTCCCCAGTAGATTCCCAGAGTCACATTGGACAGATTACCAAATTCTGAGCCTTTCTTAGAGGTAGGAAGAACATGGACTTTCCAGAGTGAGTGCTTCAGCCTTCTGGTCAAGATGGATTAGGAATCATGGCATTTTGAGGAAGACAGTGGCTTGCTGTCAGTGATGTTCATCTGGACTAAATCTGCATTCTGGATACCTTGATATAGTGAGAATTTAGACTGTGCTGATAGTTCATTTAATTTGTAATGTTGTCAGGAAAAGAAAAGGGCATGTTTTTATTCCTTTATTTTACATTTTGTCATGAGACATTTTATATTTTTGCTATGTTATAAAATTCATGTTAGAGAACAGAGGAAGTCTGTTATGCATGAGAAAGGAAAATTGTCATTATTGTCACTATTAATCATATTTGGATATACGGTCATAAGAAGGTTACTTAAATGCAGTTACACTGGTGGATCAGGTGGTAATAGGGTACTTGGCTTTGAGGAACTTGTTTTGTGGTATCATACTCAGACCCAGGTGCCTAATCCCTGAGATCCACAACTAATCCTTAAAAGGAATATCTAATTAGTTCTTCCTAAGCTTGTGGAAAACAAGAGCAAGAGTGATACTTAACTCTTGGTTACAGTCAGTGTTAAAATAATGCAGCTCTAAGATAAGCCTTATCATCATAAGGTTCAAGAATACCAAAGGCAACAGGTCATCTTGATTTTCATTCTAATTTTATTTTAAAAAGAAATAAACTCTTCCAATGCTTACCAAACAGTGTGTTGAATTTTATTCTCAATGACTTAAAAAAAAAAAACTTTTTGGGGGTCTAGCATTACATCAAACCAGGATTCTACTCATCACAGATGCTAAGAGGTGAAAGAAATGAAGGGCTCTGACTACATCTAGGCCTTGTGGTCTTTGCAAAAAGACTCAAGACAGTAACAAGAAGTCTTCACCGCTCTGAACATTTAAAATGATGCATTCGAGATGGCTGTGTGAGTAGGGTAAAAATGCTTGCCAGGCAAGCCAGATGATCTGAGTTCAGTCCCTGGGACCCACCGTGGAAGGAGAGAAAGGACTCCTGAAAGTTGTTCTTGACTCGAACATGTGTGGGCTCACTCTCACTTAGCCTCTCACATAATTTAAAGAAATGCTAGATTCAACTTAGAAACACACATACATACCAGATGTGTGTGTGTGTTTGGAGGATGGGAGACGGGCTGCATGTGGCATGCATGCATGTGGAGATCAGAGCAGCTTTATGGAGTCAGTTCTCTCCTTCCACCGTAGTATGGGTTCCTGGGATAGAACTCTAGTTGTCAGGCTGTGTGATAAGTACATTTTACCCACTGAGCTATCTCTCAGCCTAAAGGATTATATATATAATATATATAGTATATATTATATATAATAATATATATTATATAAATATAATAATATTATATATATATATTTTTTTTTTCTTTCTCTTTTGGGGGTTATGGTGCTTAGAGAAACAGCACCCAGCATGTGCAGGGTTCCTGGTTCGATCTCTGATACCAACACATTCACAGATGATTGACTAAGCTGCTGTTCACAGTTGTGGCCACTGGAGGGGAATATATACAAATGTAGGAGCAGGGTAGATTTATTTCCAGAGACTAAGCAAGCACTGAAGACAGCAGCTGCCCTAAAGGCAACAATCTGGGCCAACACAGAACTTTATTTTGAAACCTTTATGCTGCTTGCTTATGGGGAGACCAGGACAGGACTACAGATTCATATTTTTAAAATATAAGTGAACTTCTTAACTGGTACTTTATTAGCGCACGGGAATGCAATGTACAAATCCCTGTGACTCAGTAGGCAGAGGCTCCTCTGAATCACAGCGTGATTTCCTTCTTGACCACTCAGGATTTTCTAAGTTCCTCACCTCCCTAGCCAAGATGTTAGGGAAAAAGAAGACTCCAGGCTACAATGTTGCTTTCTGTTTTGAGAGAGTCCTGCTCTGTTGCCCATTTTGACCTTAAACCTGATTTTAACCCATGGGTTCCTGGGCGCTGGAATACTGGTTCCTGGAAGTAGTATGTACCACCATGACAGGTTGTCTATTAACACTGATTCATACTCTCTTTCCCATACCATATGGCCATAAAAAGGGTACTAGGAACTAAAGCAAAACCCAAGATTCCGAAGGTTAAGGCATTTGTGCCAAGCCTAAAGACCTGTGTGGGAAGCCTGGAACCCAAGGTGGAGGAATGAACCTACATCATATACTATAGCATGCACAACCCCTGAACCCCTACACCCAAACACACTCTAAAGGTAAAAAACATCCGCACTTTGATTAAAATCAAATTTTCTTCATCCTGTGATGGAGCTTGGCTGGAAAAGAATGCCCAACTTTATATACCTTATGCATATGCATCTAGAGACATTAAAAGGACATTAATCATGGAAAGCTAATTTTTTATCTTTTATAACAGAATGCTTCAGTGTTTTACATGTAAGGCATAACCTCAAAATGCATGCTGTTTTTAAAGATTTACTTATTACTTATATAGCATTCTGTTTACATGTAGGGCTACGTACCAGAACTCACTATAGATGGTTATGAGCCATCATGTGGTTGCTGGGAATTGAACTCAGGACCTTTGGATGAACAGCCAGTGTTCTTAACCTCTGAGGCATCTCTCCAGCCCAAATTCATGCTTTTTAAAGAGATAAAAAGGCAGTTCTTAGATATGGATAAAATTTATTTGGCACACCAATCAATCTCTACAAAGTGGTGGCAGTTGGTGTAGCGCCCACTCTCTCCACATCTGCATGACGCGACAGGTAAAGCATCCATCATTTGAAAACACAGAGTTTCAGAAAGCTCCAGAGCTGGAAACTTGAGAGTGCTCATATAACGTCACATGGAAAGTTCCATTGCAGATCTATTGCCAAGTCAGTCAAATGCAAGTGCATTAAAAAACAAAAACAAAAACAAATTTTCTTTCACATGATATATATGAGATACACAGAAGAGTCCAGGTATTGTGTTATGCATCTGCAAATAATTGCAAAAATCTGAAAAAAGAACCTTAAAATAGTTGTGGCCCCAAGCATTTCAGGTGTCCCAAGCATTTCAGTTAAGAAACCATCAACTTGTATGCAGTAGGTTATTTTGCAAGGTTAGAAAGAGAGTCAAGTTTTCTCAGTACTGGTGAAAACTTTTATCATGAGATAAATGTAATAACTGAAGCATTCATCCATTCCCCATTAGAAAACAGCAATGTTACATTGTTACACATTATTTACATTGAAAACTTGGAAGACTTGACAGTATCAGTTAATCACAAATCCTAGGAAAGGCCCGTTTGTCCTCTCCAGGTTCTTTACCTTGGAAATAAGCTAGTTAGTTATATATCAAGCTTAATTAATCTTTAAGCACCAGCGTGACAATTTAAAGCATTCTTTCAGTTTCTTAACATATTCCTGCTTTGAAAGGCAAAATGAATGCAAAATGTGAATGCAATGAAACAAGTCACTGGCCTGATATTTTTATTGCAAGAGTCTCAATGTTTTAATACTATATTCACTTCTCTAAGTGAGTTTGCTCATAGACTTGAGCCAAAATATTTACCTTTTGTCTCAAAAAAAATTCCCTTAAAAAGCAGTTCTTTTTGGAACTGTACAACTGTACTTTTCATTTAGTGTTAAATATGCAACATGGTCCTTGGAGGTTGTTATGGCCAGGAAGTCCAGCTTCTGGATAACTGGTTATACAAAACAATAAAAACCTGAAGCAACCGTAAAATATACTGATGTTACAGTCATCTGTTTATAATACATCAGCATAGCCAGATTGTGTGCAATCAGTTTTAATTCCTAACAGTTAAATTTCCATTCATTATGTAACATTAAATGCTGTAGAAGACCCTGTAAGCTCTATTCTTCAGAAACATTAGAACACTATTAAGGCATTACTTAATTAACAGACCCTAAAGAAACTAGTAAGTCTGGAAAGGAGAGTTAGTCGTATGTTAAGGCAGTCAAAAGAGTAATTTTTTTCCACTTTAAGGCTCTTATATAACCGTAATTTATTCCATGCAGACATTATTCTGGATACCTGAAAGACCCATCAATTGGCCAATTATGGACATGAATGTAATTGTAATAAAACAAATGGATAGTTTAGAAACAGCTCATTAACACTTTTGTTCCAGATCTTTCAAATACAATGCCATAAACCTCATTCCTTTGGAGAATTCTTCACTATTAAGTTTGTAATAAGAAGAAGCTGGGTGGTGGAGGTGCAGGCCTTTAATCCCAGCACTTGGGAGGCCAGCAGGTTCCAGGATAGCCAGGGATACACAGAGAAACCCTATCTCGAAAACCAAAACAAAAGAAAGATTATAACTCAAATATATTATAAAAGCTATTTCACTAACCATACCAAATATATACTCTATATTTAGAACAGTGCAATAAGGACAGTTCTTCATTAGTATTCACTATCTATTTTTATATCTAATTTGGTCATAATGGGACTCAAGTTTACACTTCAAACAAAACCTAAGAAATCACTTAGACACAAGTTTCAGTATAATATTTTCACCGATATAATTCACTACTTACACACAGTAACAGAATGTTAACCCATTCATTTTTGTTAACCCATTATATTAATAATCCAAGTATACAGTAAAATGAAACCAGCAGAAATTGAAGATAATTTAGTTTTTTTTTTTTTTTCAAATCCAGATTCTGCTAACATATAGGTAAAGAAGTTCAAACATTTTAAAATTAAAGTTCATTATGTTCACAAAGTTAAGATGATTAAAGGCAGGGATAAAGTAGAAAGGCAAAAATATCTCTGTAGGACCAGAGGTATCTTTTGTATATCTTTATTATATTTACAAATGCTTACTGGGAATAATCACAATTTCAGGAACAGAATCGTGCTATTCTTCCTTTCCGTTTTTCTAATAGATCTTGTTATTTTTAGGGTTTAGGAAAACTGCCATCTATAGCATACTTAGCTACATTTTTAGTTTTCTACGTGAAAAATACTTTAGAATTAATCTTAAAGTTCATAGTGAATTTTTTCAAAAATGCAAAGTTAATAATAAGATACCGAATGTGAATACTGTCATTATAGGCCTCCTATATCATAAGCTCAGTGTAGATGTATGTGTGCGTGGACACTCGGCTGAAGGACTTTGTAAACTAGGAGTGTAACTGTGGAACTCAAAGGATGTATGATCACTGTCAATTATTAGACTGCCTATATAGTATATACTTTTCAATATTTATCAATTAATTACAAACAAATTCTGAATAACTGATCTTACTGAATGGCCATAAAATTTCTGGAATATCTAGAATATGACTTAGGGAGAGAATGTATCAACCCAGGTATTACTTTAATTATTTTTAAAAATGTTCTTTTTTATATGATTTTTAAAATATTTTATATGCATTGGTTTTGCCTTCACATATATCATATATGTCTGTGTGATGGTATAGGATGCCCACAACTGGAGTTACAGTCAGTTGTGAGCTGCCATGTAGGTGCTATAACTGAATCTGGGTCCTCTGAAAGATCAGCCAGTGCTCTTAACCACTGGGCCATCTCTCCAACCCTGAAAAATGTTTTCTTTTAAATTTACATACAATGAAAAACAATCTGCAAGAGATTTTCCCCAAACCTGAATGTGGTTGATTTTTTTTTTTGGGTCATGCATTTATTATCCAATTGGATCAAACTGGAAAAAAGCAAAAGCATGAAGAAGACTTGCAAAAAAGAAAAACGGGGGTTAAGTAATCTTTCATGAAATAAAAGAGATTAGGGAGCAAGTATCAGAAAAACAAAGCAAATTCATTCAGAGTTAACCCTGGCTCATTTCACATAAGGACCTATCGTCTTTTCTGATCCTTCCTTACGGCTGTATGACACTTCTCCAAGAGGACAGTTTGTACCTTAGCAAAACCAATGTAATCCAAGAGTAGATTTTTCATTTTGAGTTACCTTTACTGTAAGCACACCGCACAGCCACCAAATCCATTGCAGTGTCTTATTTTTTTTTTACTTTTACACACACACACACACACACACACACACACACACACACACACACATGTGCAATGGCAAGTATGTGGAGATTAGAGGACAACTTGCAAGAGCTGGTTCTTTCCTTCTACTATGTGGGGTCCAGTGACTGAACACAATTATTCAGGCTAGGTGGCAGGTGCCTTTACCCACTAAGACATCTTGTCCCCCCTGTGACAATATGTTTAGGTCACAAGAAATTACAATGGTTTAGCCCTCATTTCCTGCTTAGATGTTCTTTTACTGTGCTTCTCAGAATGTTTTCCAATCATTATAGTCTCAAATTTACACTATGATATACATGTGTGTGTATATATATATATATATATATAATTTTATTTTTTTGCAAAGTAAGACCTGCTAATGGTATTTTGTCAGTTGCAGACCTGTTGTTATTCAAAGAGATTAGACTATGAGCTTTGCTTTCATTCTTTTTTGGAATATATTTCTTTTTTCTTTTTATCAGAGAAAAGTGACATCTGGTGTTTATAATTAAACCCAAAGTTTGAACCTGTATTGAAAGGCCTCCTTTCCAGTTTCAATTTTAAGTAAATGTTAGGCTACCATGATCTAAGAATTAGATATGTTAATTTGTAGGAGAGCAAAACTTTATCAGGTATGCTAAACTGGTCGTCTGTAATGACACAGCACATGAAAGAAAACAAGAGGTTTGGAAGAGTGCAGTACATTCTACTCACTAGCATATTCCTCTCTAACATACTCTGTAAACAATTACTAAGTAACAGTTTTGATAAGTGAACTCTCCACTAATCAAAAACCAGTAAGATGAAAAGATTAGTGTTTTGTTTTACAAATAACTAAAACCTGGAAATATTTACAGAGTATCTAGGAAATAAAGTTTATTTTTCTCAAGATTGTATTTTAAAGCAATATTTTCCATACCATTTACTGAAGAGTAACCCTAGTGGTAATTTGGAAAATAAAACTTGTTTACCACTTGAGTGTACCCTGTGCTTAATGAGGTAAAGCCTTTCTATGGGGCTATATTACATAGCAACAGAGGCTGTAGAGACGTAACTGTGTTTGAGAATTACTCCAAATTTAAAAAAAAAAATCATACATGTTCACAAGTTCCTAAAGTAATCATGCATATCATCAATTCCTAATGTCTAAATTATGTAAAAGTCTTCTACAATTCTATTGTACCTCTTACTAAATCATTGGGCTCCCATATATGAGAAAGGGAAAGCCAGAATGGTGACGAGAGAGGCAGAGCTTTCTGCTGGGCATAGTGGCACAAGCTTTAACTGCAGTACAGTTCAAGGCCAGCCTGGTCTACATAGTGAGCTCCAGGAGAGTCAGGATAATGTAGGGAGACTCTGTCTCAAACATAATAAAATAAAATAAAATAAAATAAAATAAAATAAAATAAAAAAAAATAACCAGACTGGTTGCTTTCTATCAACCAAATAAAGAAAATTCTAAGGTTTCTTTCCATTCTGAAGTTTTGTGATTTGAAGATAAAATTACTTTCTGTGGAGTCTGCTTTTGTTTACCTTTTTTCTTTCTTTCTTAACACTTTTTTTTTTAGGTCACTTATGTAGCCCTGACTGGCTTGGAAATCCCTCTGTAGACCAGGCTGGTTTCTAATTTAGAGATCTACTTGTGTCTGCCTTTCCAGTACTAGGACTAAAGGCTTGTGCCACCACATTCGATTTCTGTCTTCAATCCTAATCTGTTTAATCAGGCCTACTTAAATACTGCAGAAGGGTCACCTCTAATCTCATTTCTCTGACGGATTAAGTATTAGCTCCTGGGCATACTCTGCTTGTCTAAAAGCAGTAGGTAAGTAACAGAGAAGTAAAAGAAACAGGCTTTTATATAATATTCCATGTAAATTTCAAAATAATCTAGATCATTTTAAACTTAGATCCTAGGTTTAAAGAATTCAATAGCTCTCATGTAATTATTAGGGTTTTTAACCTTAAATTCAATTGAATATGAAACTTTAATGTATCAGAATTAGTTAAGATGTGAAATTCTACATGTGACAGTGGCTAAAACCAGAACAGCATCAGAAACAATGGTGTTTAGAGTAGAAGAGGGTACTATGTTTGTTAATAACACTGAAAAATTGTTAGTGTCTTAAAAAAATGGCTACATATCAAACCTCACTAATATGTCAAATCTGAAGGGAACATTTTCTTATTCTTAGAGCCTACATTTCTTAGGAAATAGAAGAAAATATGTACACAAATCCTCACATTAGCACACAGTCCCTTTCTTCTCAAATACAACATTTCAACCCCTATACACTTGTAAGGTTATGTCACCTACACTTAATAGTCTTAGAAGGGCTTTGTAAGTCCTCAATAAACCTTTAATATTTAAAGAATGATGCATAAAAATTAACGTTTTAGTATATCCTACCTTAAATACTATTACACAACCAGGAGAAAAATCAAGCTACTGGTGTTTCAATAGGCCACTTTCATGCTAAGCTTCACAGTGAAAACATGGAATTGCTCAAGAAAAGAATGTATGTTAGTATGGTGGAAAGAAGTTTAATTTTTACAAAACATATTTGAAATTTTCCTACATAGACTGATTGGTTGATATGTCTACTCTAAAGTTGCCTTTGAACTTGAAGGATCTTGCTTGCTTTATTATTTTTATACTCTATCAAAAAAAGAAATTAGACATAAAATGAATGGTGGGCAAAAATAGAAAGAACTAAGACAAACATATTAGAAAAATATAAAAAATAGTTAAAGGTATTATAGGGGTGTGGAAAAGCTTTGTCTTTACAGTTGAGTTTAATTGTTACACTATAGGATTATGGATGGGAACTTAAATATGTGAAACACTCAGGAAAGCGTAAGTACATGAGACACTATTGTTGCTCAAGGGAATCATTCAGTAAGTCTCTACTTATGGCAGTAAATACAAGGTTACAACGCAAATTCCTTAGCTTACAGAAACTCACAAGTCCCTTAGGAATTTCAATCATGTTTTGACCAAAAAGTAACAAATTCTAACAAGTACAAATAAAACACCTGAAATAAAGCAACTATTTCATTGAATAAGAAAGGTGTTGTTCATATGATCTTAGAAAACTCTGAATTTGTAAAATTTATTCATAATTTAGTTTAACCAAATGTCTTTTTTTTTTTTTTTTAAACCTCTTGGTATAAAAATTTACGTCATGAGGTTTATTTCCATCACAGTCACATGGTCTAGTGCACTTCAGAGTATTTGGACATTATCAAAACTGTCCTTTTCCAATGAAAACGTTTAAGAAAACAAGTACTTCTCAAACAAGCGACATGATGTGAGTCTACTTACACTTTTGTATCTCACCTTTAAGTACAAACGTGTGATTCAGCAGAGTAAAACATGACTACTTTACAGTCTATTAAGAAGAAGGTCTCTACAGAGAAAGCGACAGTGTCCCGAAGACTTCTCAAGAGCTGGCTGAGTCCCCGCACCTTTGGACTCAACATGTTTTTCCTTCCTTCCCTCTTTTCCTGTTCTTGGCGAAGTACATTTCCATCATGCACACACTGCTGACATTTCTCACTACTGCTTTTAGCTGGGAAGCAGCTCTGAGTTTTTGGTGAGATTCAGCAGCGGTGGATTTCTCAGGTCATCTGGTACTCAGGGTTAAATGACGTCCAGCGTGAAATTTCGAATCACATCCAGAGCTGCGGTATCGAAACCGCACACATCCAACATGCCTCTATCGTCTGGGTCTGCAATGGCAAAGCCGTTTGATGTCATCCCACAGACAATCAGCTTAGCAGGAATTTCCATTTTCTGTAGAGAAAATACAGGGGAAAGTAAATACATAAAAATTATACGAAAGAAAAACAAGAGCCGGATGGTGGTAGTGAATGCCTTTAATCCTAGCACTCAGGAGGCAGAGGCAGGTAGATCTCTGTGAGTTGAGGCCAGCCTGGTCTATAGAGTTCCAGGATAGCCAAGGCTAAAACAGAGAAATCCTGTCTCAAAAAACCAAAAACCAACCGAAACAAAAATCCTTCAAAATTAAGGCTAGAACTCAGAACCACGGTTCCCCCTACCAAATGTTGAGATTACAGATGTGTACCACCAAGTCCAGCTTACAGTTTTGATATATACATTAGATAGTGCTTTTCAGGACTATAATTCTGTCCCCTTGTTGCCCTGACTTTCGGCTCTACCTCCCATCTATGCTTCTCTTTCTTCTTCCTACCCTTCCTTTGTACTATGGAGCATACCAGGACCTTGAGTATGCTAGATAAGCTCTCTACCATTGAATTTACATTACCAGTCTCTACATGTATTCAAGATCACAAAAATTAAATATTAAAGAAAACAAGCAATGAAGGCACACTGTAATAAACCTATTAAAATATGCTTAATGTTTTTGTTTTGATAAACTTTCCTTGAGACAGGATTTTATGTAGCCCAGGCTGGCCCCAAACTTGGTATGTAGCTCAGGATGACCTGAACTTCTGATCCTTCTGTCCCTGCCTTCCAAATGCTAAGATTATAGGTATGTACCATCATGCCTAGTTTTATGCAGTGCTGGGGAGTGAACCTAGGAATTCATGTAAGGTAAACAACTACTCTACCAACGTAGCTATATCTCCAGCCCATTTTTCTTATTTATTTGTTGTGACAAGGTCTCACTATATTTATGTAGTCCAGGCTAGTCTTAAATTCCTTATGTATCTTAGGTTGGCCTCAAGCCACTGATCCTCTTACTTCAGCCTCTTTGTTTAAAGATTCTATGTATCTGGGCTGGAGAGATGGCTCAGAGGTTAAGAACAATTGCTGTTCTTCCAAAGGTCCCAAGTTCAATCCCTAGCAACCAGATGGTGGCTCATAACCATCTAGTAAGATCTGGTGTGCAGGCAGAAAGTTGTATAAATAATAAATAAATCTTAAAAAAAAAAAAGAGTCTATCTATCATCTATCTATCTAGTTCCTCGGGAGAAGGTTTTCCTGTGTAGTCTTGGCTGTCCTGGACTCTCTCTGCCTATCTCTGCTTCCTTGAGTGCTAAAATTACAGCCATTTGCAACCGTGCCTGTGTGAAGATTTTATGTTTAGTGTGTGTGTGTGAGTACGTATACTTGAACACACAGGAATGCAGGTGATGCAGAGGCTAGATGCATCAGGTCTCCTGGCCTGGAGTTAGAGGCAGTTGTGAGCCACCCGTCCTAAGTGCTGGGAAATGAACTCGGGCCCTCTTCAAGTGCAGTGTGTGCGCTTAGCCACTGAGCCATCTCTCTACAGCTCTGCCTCAGAGTCTTGAATGTTAGGGTTATATGATAAAGCTACCGCATCCAATTCTAATGACCAATCTGTTTTTGAGACGATACTAACCCTAAAAGGCATGTAGCATTGCCTACCATGATATTTGTCAGTTAACTAATTTGTTCAATGCACAGTTAGCAGAAGAGACTCAGGACTAATATACAGACTGCTTTTAGTACAAATTCTACTTCCTCCTTTATGACACTCAAAAGTAAGCATTCATGGGAAATCTGAACCCTACCCACAGGGTCTGACTCAGAAGATGTCTGATGGGGTCTGTGATTTGAATTTTTGACCTGAATACCAAACAACACTAAAGTTGGTAGGAAAATAATGGTGTGAGAACCACTGTTCTCCATAGCAAGTTCTGCTTACACTTCTAATCACATGAGCCACCTGTTTATACTCAACAGCCTAGAGACTAGTGTCTACCATACTGGACAGAATAGTAATAGAACATTTCTGTCATCTGACAAAGCCAAGGGAGAGGGGAGGATGGTCAGAACAGACATCCACATAGTTTAGAATACAGACTGAAAAGCTTGCTGTAACTTGATGTAGTTCTTTAGTTAAACTAACAAATGATAATTTTTCAAGGAATGCAGTGTATCATTAAAAATTATAGTTGAGGTCAAATATGCAAAAACTGCTGGCAAAGGCCTAATATTAATATTTAGCACTGGAATTAGGTGATAGATGTATGTATAGTCCCTACTTTTTTATTCCAGGTACTGCTGAGCCCACCTAACACTGGCTTTCCTACACAAATGAAGTCAATGTCCTCAAAGCCAATGGAGTATTGTCTGGAGTGGTACAGTTATGGATAGGTTTGCGGTTTACCTTTCGGTACTCCCTCAGGGCAACAGCAGGATGCACCTGCCCAGCAAAGGTCTCATTATCAGTGAATACAATGAAGACATCAGCAGCTGTGCCTGTCTTCTGGGCCCAGATCATTGGAAGAGAGCAATCGGTGCTGCCTGCTGGGACCTATCTCGGAAAAAAGAGAAGGAATAGCAGTAAAATAAAATCACCTTATGTTCAGATGATATCATCAGATGTCTGAAATGACACATAAAAACCAATTCTTAGAGCCCCCTTTTATGCAAAACCAATATCAAGGTCTCACCACATCTGTACACATATGTTTTCATTGTACTTGCTATAAGAAGTGAGAACAATTCCTTTCTACAGATACTTTGCATGCCCCACGTACAAAATTACAGGACATGGTGATAAAACAGTATCTTACTTTATTCATAGCCGTTAGAACCTGCTGTAAGGTCATGTCTGTAGTCACAGGAAATGGTACCATATCACATGCAAAAGCAACTACTGAAGAATCTTTTTCTGTTCGTGTGACCACCTGTAAAACACAATAGTAACAATTTTCAGCACACTGAAATAATTAGTCTCCTAAAGGTTTATACAACTTTATCTCGGAAAGAAACACTATGGTACTTATTAATCTCAAACTGTATTTTTGTGTTTCAGAATATAGTCGAAGCATTGTTTATGGACTGGTGAGATAGCTCAGTGGACAAAGATGCTTGCTGCCAGACAATCTGAATTCAATCCTGGAATCCACATGGTGGAAGGACAATATGACTCCTATAAGTTAGCCTTGAGGGGCTCCTCCCCAGGGCCAGTGCAATCAATAAATGAAAACTAACCAATAACATGGCTCAGAAAATCTCTGAGAAACAGTTATCTGCAGCACTCTCTCAGGCAAACAAATAGAAACACACTAATTATTTTACTAAATTGGGAATAAAGGCATGAAGTGAAGAAGCACCACCTTGCTATGTGGTGATGGGACCATGGGTGAGAACTGAACCTCCCTAAGGCCCAGTACTCCCTTCTTGAGTTTTTACCCATGCTTTGTTCTACCTGTCACCTATTTTTGCAAATACTAGTAACATTTAATCTTGCTGTAAAAGTTGGCAGCTAAAAAAAGAAGTTGGCAGCTCTGTTTTGACCATTCCTTACACATGCCTTTTCAGTATAATTAACACTGCATTAAAAACTTGCCTTTAGGTTATAAAACAATAAATGTCACAACTGAAATGGCTAAATAAGTCAAAAACTAATTTTAATTCTTCTTCTTCCTTTCTTCTTTCTTCTTTTTTATTTTCAAATCAAGGTTTCTCTGTATAGCTCTGGCTGTCTTGGAACTGGCTCTGCAGACCAGGCTGGCCTCAGACTCCCAAGATCTTCCTGCCTCTGCTTCCCAAGTGCTGAGATTAAAGGCGTGTACCACCATGCCCGGCAAAACTAATTCTTGATGACGTTTACCTTGATAGTTTTACTTTACACACATTTTAGGAGGTGGGAACACTGCATTGTTTTAGGAGGTCTCACCATGCACATTGCAGCAGCAACCGTACTAGCATTGAGTACACTACCCAAAACTCTCTGGTTCATAGAGGCACTGACATCAACAGCCAGCAAAAAACGCTTCCCAGTTGGCTCAACCGTCTAAAAAGAAAAGAAAATAAAGTAGTCATGAAAAAGTCAAAGAGAGTGTAAGCAGATTAGATTGAAAAAAAAAAATCCTATTTCTTTATCTTTCATTCCAAAGGCTCCCAGAAGAAAGGGCTGTTTTTTTTTTTTTTTTTTTTTGTTTGTCTGTTTTATGTAAGTTAAATGACTATTACTTTTAAAATTCTAGCTCTCATTAACTGGTAAAATAAAATAACGATGTAATCCATTTAATTTTACTTAAAGAAGTTAGGGTACTAGTTTTAACAATCTTTTCTCAATGAAGTAAAATGGGAACTTCTAAGGTTTTTTTTTTTTTTTTAAAAACTGTGGTAAAAGAGAAATAACATCTACTCTTCAGCCATTTTTAAGATTATAACTCAGCAGCATCAGGTCTATCCACAGCATATAAGCACTGCCTTTATTTCTAGACTCTCTCATTGTCTCATCATAGACTTCACCCACCTAAGCAGCAACCTCGAGCCTACATATTCACCCTGAAGAGTCTTGCACCTTCTAGGCCGTTTTCTGCCACGATAGTGTGTGCACTTGACAAAATGCAGTCACAGAACATTCCTGGGAACCTTTGGCTACTGTGAATCATGTTGGAATGGACATTAGTGTACAAGAACAAGGTCAAGTACTTCCTTTTATTTTTCTGGGGCACATACAGAGGCCGAATTCTCCACGGTATCAGAGTAAAGGTGTCTGTCCCCACACTTAGCAGTTTGGTATTTTACTTTGTTGTTGTTGTTGTTTGTATGCTTGTTCTTTGAAGCACCATGCTGTTATGAAGCCTGACTGGCTTCACACTCACTATGTAGCCCAAATTGGACTCTGAACTTCTGGTGAGCCAGCTGCTTTAGCCTCTCCCACCATGCCCAATGTGGGGATTTATAGACATGTGCAGTATACTAGGCACTCCATTCTTGACAGTTTGATCCTGATTTTAACAGGCTGCAACATTTTACATTATTACACAAGGGTAATACACAAGGCTTCCAATTTTTCCACCTTCCCAATACTTGTTAATTTTTTTGCTAACACTATTCAATTAGGTACAAATTAGCATCTCGTTTGTGCTTTTGATCTGGCTAATCATATCGAGTGTCTTCATGTACTTATTGTTCATTATATAATTCTGAAAAACTATCTATTCAAATACTTTGTCCATTTATAAACTGGCTTGTACTTGTACTATTGAACTTCAGAACTTTTTATGCTATGGATATTAAACTTTTTTCAGATACATAATCTGCAAATATTTTCTCCTACTATGTAAGCTTTTTCCACTTTCTTCTAACACTGTGTGATGTTCATGTTTCAATTTTTATTTCTATTTTTTAAGACAGGGTTTCTTTGTATAATCTTGGCTATACTAGAACTCACTGTGTAGATCAGGCTGGCCTCAAACTCCGGGATCTGCCTGCCTCTGCCTCCTAGTATTGGGATTAAAGGAGTGTCCCACCACTGGCAAGCTATGTTACATTTCAAAATTTGAAGTTTAATTAATTTAGTTGTTGTCATCTGTGCTTTATTATTCTTTTTACTTTTAGCTCTTAAATTTAGGTCATTGATCTCTTTTGAAATATTTTTTGTATATGCTGTAAGATAAAGATCTACCTTGCACTTTTTGCATGTAAATGTGGAGTTTTACAGCACAATTTGTTGAATACTGTCCTTTCTGAATTAACTCATTCTATAACCCTTCAGCACCAACTGCCCACATGTGTAAGTTTGTTTCCAGACTCTGTTTTATTCCTTTGGTTGTCATGTCTGTCCTTATAACAGCTTGGTGCTTTGGCTATTGTTACATCCTGGCTGAGTTGTGAAATCCAGAGGCATGAGTCCTGCAAATTTGCTCTTCAAGATGGTTTTGGTTATTGGGAGTCACCTGGAATTTTATATGGATTTTTAGTTTTCCGAAAAATATGCCATTGGGATTTCTTTTGTTGTATGTGTGTTTTAGATTTATTTATTTATTCATTCATTCATTCATTCATTCATTCATTCATTCATTCATTTATTTATTTATTTATTTATTTACTTATTATGTATATAGTACTTTGCCTGCATGTATGCTTATACACCAGAAGAGGGCACCAAATCTCACTATAGATGGTTATAAGCCACCATGTCCTTACTGAGAATTGAACTCAGAAACTTTAGAAAAGCAGACAGTAAGTACTCTTTACTTCTGAGCCATCTCTCCAGCCTGTCATTGGGATTTTGAAATCTGTGGATTGCTTCAAATTGCCCTATCCTCTTCACTTGTCTTAGTTCCTTAGGGTTTTCTACACAGGCTAATGAGCATGCTAAGTGAGGCTTTTTTCTTATATAGTTAGCATAACTCTTTATACTTTCTGGCACTGAAGTGGAAAAAGTAGCCACCAAGGAAGTTCTATTATTAAGTGGTTTCTTGGTTTTTATTTTGACTTTTAATATTAAATTTTGCTAAATGCTTTTTCTGTATCAACTGATACTGTCATCTGGAGCTGTCACTTTGCTGACTGAGATTACTTACAGGTGCTCTATGTTGAAATGTCTTTAAACATCAGGCATAAATGTCACCTGGTGATTATGTATAATCTTTTTAATTTGTTACTTTGGATGTTAGATTTTTGTGGTGTATCTAGAAAATATTGAAATAAAAAATTTTAACTTATAGCTTGATTTCCATTTTGAAAATCTGATTTTTAAGACATAACTCCCAACTAACAACAAAACTGAAAAAGAGTACTAAGTTGAAGGAATTCACAGAAATGCCAGTTCTCAAATTCGGTAATTTATCAATATGACTTTGAAATAATTAAATTAAAATGATCTTGGGATAGGTAGCTGCCACTCGGTGTAACAAGGATTACTCATAAATGTCAATTTTGTAACCCCTTTCTTATCAATTATGGAAAAACAATGGATATATTTTTTAAAATGGCTAAACTAGTAATATAACTGCTAAAATATGTTTTTACAAAATATATTAGCTCCTGAGTCCTTTTTAATAAAACAAACAAAACTATTACCTTAAATGTTTTATAAAAAGCAGCATCCAATGCTTGTAAAATTTCTTTATCTGGATTCCATTTCAGTTTTCCTCTGAGCCCATGGCCCGCTCGGTAGGTTTCTAATGCAGTTAAAACATGAAATGGATGTATGCGAGCCTGCAAACAAGACAGACTGAAGGTAGTTGCCAAGTTCAAGTACAAATAACAATTATGAGTCTTCAGGGTTTTATATTACTAAAAACACAATAAAAGAACAAATATTAAACTCAGATTTAAGAATTAAAATGTAACTTGTCATGAGAAAAGTCTTAGGCTTCCTGAGAGCTAACTCAGCTTATCGGTAACCAAGGCATGGGTCACACATACCTTTTTGAGCAGCTTTTCATTGCATAGCTTTTCACATACTAAAGATACTTCAGAATTTCCTGGCTCAAGCACTGAGTTAGCAGTCATCTTCCCCAGATTCCTCAGTAGTGCAGTAAGGGGCATTTCTTGTAACAAAGCCTTCCATACCTACAGGGGAAAGAAAAAGAACAACAGAAGGGAAATAGCATAGCTAGAAGTGTAAAGAACTAAGGGCAAATGAATCAGTGTAACACATTAGCAATAATTCTGTAAAGCTTTTACTTAGGATTTAAGGTACTTCCAGAGTAAAATCAATTGACCAAAAGCTTATTAAATAAGAAACTGATAATTTTCAAGATAGCTTTGTGTGTGTGTAAATCTCCCTTACTAACTCCTTACTTTTCTTTTTGAGACAGGATCTCTCAGTCACACCCAGAATTCCTTGACATGTGATTTGGCTAGTCTTGCTAGTCACCCTGCTCTGGGGGATCCATTTCTGTCTTCCCACCCCACAATGCCAGTTGGTCCTCTTGCCTGTTCATCAAGTGTTATAAACTAGAAGCCATGTCTCTGGCCCCTTGTCTTGTTTTGGTAGGGTTTGAAACTGAACCCAGAGTCTGGAATCTGAGGTTTCTCTTTTTTAAATGAAGTTACTCACCTCTTTAGACTTCAGGTGATTGGTCAGCAGATGCTCCCTAACTAACTGATGCTCTTCAATTAAATGAATGACTTCCAGCTCATCTTTTGTTCGCTTTACTTTCTCCACGGCCTCTAGATACTTTAATAGCTTTTCAGTCTCCACAGAGAGTGCTTTTTCTTTATATTGTTCATGAACTTCTTTCCAGCCCTTTGTGATATATTTGGTCACGATAGCAAGTCCTTTAACAAGATAAAGAATTGAAAAGGCAAGCAGAGTTAATGAAAATAGAACAGGTTTCCCGAGAACGCATCATGATCAGCTTAACTAAACAGATAGGAGCTGACTCCCGTAAAGTGGAATGTTATATTCTGTCACATAACAAACACATTTAGGCAAATGAAGTGAATTTTTTGTTCATTAGTTTTTTAACATACCATTACTATGTAAATGTGTGGTGGTGGGGAATCCGTCACTAGTTTAAGCTACTGTTACAAAAGCACTTTTGAGATACTGATACTAGAAACTTTGTAGATGGTGTCTATTTCAGTTGCATAACCTCATTTAGAATACCCATCTATTCCAATGACTATTATACTGATTTGTCCTATGCTTCTGAATACAGATTTATGAACAGCTAGTGACTAAGTAGAGAAAGCCTTAAATTAAATTGTTTAACACCAGAAATTATTAGAAACCCAATAATTAAAAAAAGGAAAATAACTTGTGCATTTCTTTTACAATGTTTTTTTTTTTTTTAATATTAAAAAGAGGTTTGGGGGCTGGAGAGATGGCTCAGTGGTTAAGAGTACTGTCTGCTCTTCAAAAGGACTCAGATTCAATTCCCTGCACCCACATGACAGCTCACAACTGTCGGTACCACCAATTCCAATGGATCTGACACCTTCAAGCTTAAAAGAAAGAAAGAAAGAAACAAAAAACCATAAAAAAGGAGGTTTGGAGTGAGGAAATCCATGTTTTAGCCTATCGTCTGCTTACGGTATTATTTTTTGCTGAAAACACCTTTTGCCTTTGAAGAGACTGAACTTTTGTCAGACCTTGAAACAAAGTTAATATGCCTTCTGATTGTTTAAAACTATGTATCCAACCTGCTGTCCTGTGTACTTAGCTTTAAGTTCAACCCTGCCATAAGAAAACAATGTAACTAAACTTACTAAGCCTTGGATTTCCCTGTAATCAGCTTTTGCAATCTAAACTAAATCTTTTTTTTTTTTAAATAATTTTTTAAGTTTTAAAGATTTATTTATTTATTATATATACAGTGTTCTCCCTGCATGTATGTCTACAGGACAGAAAAGGGCACCAGATCTCATTATAGATGGTTGTGAACCACCATGTGGTTGTTGGGAATTGAACTCAGGACCTTTCCAAGAGCAGCCACTGCTCTTAACCTCTGAGCCATCTCCCTAGCCTCTAAGCTAAATCTTAAAGAATGTATTCTTTCATGCCCTTGACCCAGGCTAACATAATTATATGTGTTGTAGTAACTACACAGGTTAAAAGCAACTTAAAACAACAATTATGCCAAAAAAGATTGGAAGCAACACCGGATAGGTTGATAGCACCTGTGCTTGTTTTTGAGAGCTACTTTGGTCAGTGTGGGTGAGTAAAGAAACTTTTCTTGTAAACTTTGTTAAAAGATTTTTACAGAAAAGTATCCCTCCTTTCCCAGACCATGGTTCTGTACTGTTCAACAAATACAGAGCAAAGCCCTTTTTTAGGACAGACAACAGGAATGGATTAAAAAAAACTACAGACAATCAACAAGCCACAGACTACAAACTACATACTAATGAAAGACAGGATGAGAAGTAGAGAATTCAAATTTGAGCTCATTCTTAGTCTAAACCACTTTAATAGGAAGCATCTTTATTCTACCTCTTAATCTCCAAATCTATAAAGGGTGTGGAGATTAACAAGGTCAGATGTTCACTAAGAGAGAGGCAGGTAAAATAGAGAAACAGGCCATGGAGATCAAAAAGCTACTAGGATCTTGGTGGCCAGAGAGCATGGTTCAGTGCTACCAAAAAAAAAAAAAAAAAAAAAAAAAAAAAAAAAAAAAAAAAAAAAAAAGATAAAAAAGAAAAGTACCTTCAAGATAGGTCTTGAGTCAGGTATGGGGCCCAGGCCACTAATTCCAGCTGAGTCTGGGGCATGAGGATCTGAGTTCAAGGCCAGCCTGGACAATTTATTAAGACCTTGCTTCAGAATAAACACTTGAGAGGGTGGAAGATACAGCTCAGTGATAAAGAATTAACCTCACAGATGTATATCTTAGGTCTACTCTTGGAAGTTCAAATGAATTAATGAATGATAAAAAAATAATAAAAGGGTTGGGGACATAGCTCAGTGCTTTATAGAGTACTTGCTTACCATATATGAGGCCTTGGGTTCAACCCTATCACCATGAGGAGCACATATGAAGGCAGATCAGAATGTAGATTTTTCTCTTTTATATGAAGTTTTCTAATTTTTTTAATATATCAACAAAAACTTATTTTTTTCCTTAAAATATTTTTAAAGGCCAAAATGAAACATCTTTTAATTCTGACTGAGCCAGCCTATGTGGTATTTTTAAACTCTAATTTAGATAATTCAATCAGAAGTTAGTACTGACATGCAAGAATTTCTACAGTATTGTATCTCTTGCTATCTTATAGATTTAAGACAAATAATAATTACATGCTTCATGTGAAAATCTTTCCTAAAAATGTTGTTTTTCCAATAAAAATTCCTTAAGCCCACAAGTACATAATACCTGATTAAAAGAACTTTACTTTCTTTGAATTATTTTGTCTGTTATAAATGTGCAATTTTTTTTTTTTTTAGTTAACACATTAACATATTACTTACTCAGTTGTTTAGAGCTGGTTTAAATTTCTTTTCCCAAAAGTAGCCTAGGGATCATCTATGACGTTGCTGTTATCAACAAAATTTTAGTGTGAGCTTTGCTCTCAGCAACTTAGATTGGAAATTTCACGTGGAAGTAAGTTTAGGGAACATCTACTAGTCCTCACTTTATAGAGCATGAAGAGAAAGCCCAGACAGTATCTCTCATTTAGAAACTAATCTGTTCATTATCACTAGCAGTCAGGGGTCTTTCTATACTTAAGCGGTTGCTTTCTACTACCATTCAGTAAGACACAGAGTAAAATAATGTCCACTGTATATTGGGTCAGATTTAAAAATAAACATTGTATGTTTAAGAAAAAACCCCCACACATTAAAAAAAAAATGATTTTAGGATAGAAATAGGTTTTTTTAAAGAATAAACTGAGGGGGTGGCTGGAGAGATGGCTCAGTGGTTAAGAGCAATTGACGCTCTTACAGAGGACCGGAGTTTAGGTCACAGCACCCACACTGGGCAGCCACCTGAAAGCCACTTTCATTCACAAAACATCATGTTGACTAATTTGTTCAGATATATTTAAAGCTAGCAGGAAACTAAGCACTTGCTCCAGGTAATCCGGCCACCAATGATGAAGAATCATGACGCACTGACAAGTCAACAGTCTATATGGTAGAATGTGACCCATTATGTCGAGTACTCACGGAGTGACTATGTGAGTGCAGCACAGGCAAGGTTCAGGTTTTAGAAAGCATACGCTCTCCACAGAGCAGGTGGCACCCAGCAAAACTGGACTGCTATTTTTTTCCTTCTCTTGCTAGAATCTGCTGTCATGAATCGTGAAGGCTATGCTGAACTAGACAGTTGGGATATCAATGTATGAAAGTGCCTGTGGGAAGGGACTTGAAAAGTTAGTTGCAGATATAGTAATCACTAATCTTTCTTAGGAAATTAAAACATAAGCATTAATAACTGGAAGTATAAAATCAGCATGTTCAAATTTTGATTATCAATCTCGATTATCTATGTCAGGTGTTTAGTTTCAGGCTGGCTTTAAATATGTATTGATTAGATAAACAGCATTATGTTTTGTGAGAGAAAGTTAATTCTAGAAAATCAAGCAAAATTTTGCTATTTACTAATCACCTGTGTCTTACTACCCATTAGGACAAACTTATGCTTACCTTCACTGGATGGTTTAAGATGTGACAGTCTTAAGAGATCTTTGTGAGACCAGCCATTTCTCTGTTTATACTTTGTGACTGCCAGGGCTATGGCCATGCCACCTTTTTCATTATACCAGTCTGCAACGGCCTTCCGGAGCGCACGACCCCACATACCACACTTCATGCTTTCCTTCAGATCTTTCTTGAACTGGATAAAAGTGAAGAGATGCGTTGGGATGCGACATACTTCAGGAACAGCTTTAAATGCGGCTTGTTTGGTGTTTATGTCCGAACACTGGGAACAAATGGCAAGTGCAAACAGCAAAGGCTCTTGTTTTGCAGTCCTGCCTTCCTGACTAAATGACTTGATTTCCTGTATCACTTCGCATCCTCTGCCATCTTCAATCAATCTAATTAAGGCTTCAGCATTTTCAAGGCCCAGCTTCTGTTCTTTGATATAGTAGGTGCCACCTTCAGAACCGAAACACAAGAAGCGGTGCAGCCGATTCATGTCGGTGACCTGCCATACATATCCGCCCTCAGAGTTGGCTACCTGATTCTCATTCAGTGGCTGCAACTGGCTTGCAGATTCGTCCATGTTCTTTGTCCTTTGAGAAAACTGTCACAACAGCAAAATGTTACTATAATTAAGTAGAGGCAATACAATTTTATAAAGGTGAACAATAAAAAAAAAATCTCTGCTTATTGAAAATGTTATGAATCTATTTAATTTAAAAATCTTTTGAACCCAGCAAGTTTTTCTCAGTAAAATGTTATAACAACTAATTTTTAAGGTACAGTATATTATGCCCAATTAATCAAGTAGGTCAGTGTGGTATCTGAGGTCCAAACAAAGACAAAAAGGGAGCAGCTATAGCCAACACTAAGAAACATCAGCCCCCTAAAGAACTGTGCATTTCTAGTCACTGTTCCGACATTTGCCCTCAAAAGGGACTACAGGGAAGAAGGTTTCAGGGAAATAATTGTTGGTAATGTCAAATACTTGGAGATCATAATGCAAACAGAATGATGGGAAATGACTATTGCAATGGCTCAGACAATAGGAGAAACTAGCAGATCCAAGTGCACAGAGTGACAGAAGAAGGCTGATCACAGTGAGAATGGAGGCTATGCAGTGAGGAGGCAACTCCACAGATCTGCTCTCCTTCCAGAAGCTGTAAGCTTTGAAGGAAGGTAAGACAAAAGATGAGACCAAGAAGAAAATTTTCTTGTTTTGGGGGATATGGTGCCAAGGTTAGTTTTCAACCTGGAGAATGGGCAGCAATGGAGAAAGGGCACAACTGAGCACGAGAGGCTTCTAAAAGAAACAGAAAAGGTTAGAGCACTGAGTTTGAAATTGGTCCATGGATGGCAAAAGTGAGACATTGCCTTCTCCTTGAGGGTGACAGATACGCAAAGAAAGAGATCTCAGAGAGATGAGAAATGAAAAAATTCCCATTTGGCAGAAAATGGTCGGTACAGAATCCAGATACTTAGGGAACTGGGGAATCACACAGCAAACAACACTATAGGGTCATGTGAATGAGAACACTGGGGACTCTGCCATTCCGAATGTGACTAACTGGGGACAGTGATTCAAAAGTGTGTTGGAAATACCAGAGTCAACATTTCAAATAAAACTTGTAAGGCTATTTATGTTAGGATAGGGTAGGATTAGCCTTTTGTCATCTCAGAGAAAATGACGTGAGGGATTAGGGAAGGGTTTATAGTTAGAGAAGATAGGCTGAAATCGTGGTGCTTAAATCCTCTGCTATTTATCTTATCCCCTAGTCGGTTCACAAAACAAACCAAGGAAAGCCCTGAGAACATTTTCAGCAACTCCCACCTTAACTCACAACTCCTTCCCATTTGATCTTTACAGTGTATTTACCATTAACCATTATCTCTTCTTTCCCCCTCCCCTGAGTCAGGGCTTCTCTGTGTAGCCCTGGCTGTCCTGGAATTGGCCTCGAACTCAGAGATTCCCCCTGCCTCTAGCTCCTGAGTGCTGGGATTAAAAGCATGTACCACCATCACCTGGCCATTACTAGCCTCTTCTTAGCTTTTACAAAACAATTGTGATGGTTCTTCAGCCTGTTTACTCCTATTTATTCACATTTGTTAGCAGAGTAACAGAAACGATATTTAACAATACATTATTCTACTGCTTTCCTCTCCAAAAGTTCAAATGGTGGGATTTAATGATCTGAGTGCAAACATTAACATAGATCTCCTCCTTTTGCTATTCAACCCTAGTGTATTTATCTCACCATTTCTGGGAGAGCAAGACTTGGGTTTTATCATGTTAAAATCTTTCTTCCACATCTACCACACAGTAAAGCAAAACTAAATATCATCAAAATTGATTTTCTGAATATTTGCTTAAGAATTATGCACTATAGATTTTCTTTTCTATAATTAATTTCTTCTGAAAAAGCCTCAATGTGCAAGATGAAAAATTTATTGCAAACAATTTTTTAAATTCTTTATAAATTCTGCCAACAAAATAATAAATGTATTATATGTAGGAAATACAATCAAGAAGAAAAGGTAAAGTAATAAGAACTGGACACAATCGTCTGCAGAGAACAGTATCTCTCTCCTAAGTTTTCCTGTGTTCTTACTGACCAGGTTGGCCTTGTATACACATCCTCTTGCTTTGTTTGGCCTTCCATGTACTGAGATTACAGGTGTCTGTTACTAAACTCGCTTCTCCTACTTTAAATGTAAATACAGTGTTATGAGAGGGCGTTATCTCATTCTGCAGCCTGCACTAGTCTTCAACAGACTAGACCAACCAAAACCTACGGATTACACTGTGTGATGATGTGCTAGATGCTATAGGATCAAACTGAAATTTTAAGAAACTACCATTTTTTTTCCTTTCTGAAAAAAGGAATGACTAGTCTATCTGAGTCAACAAGGAAGTCCCTACTAATTTATTAATTCTTATAAAAAAGTAACTGATGCTAATCAGGCAGTTGTTTTCTATTATTTTCTCCTCACCTTCAGAGATCCCTGCTTTGCTAATGTGCAGTGAGACTATTCATTCTATTTTATAGAATAAGGTACTGCTTAGTTCTAGAACTGTAAACAAAATAAGCTTCAATTTGTTGTAATTTAACGTTTGACACAAGGAATAATATGTATTACCAACGGACTCTTCCTTTTGCTAATTTTATCAGACACAACCATAAGGACGTGCTCATAAACTGCTTAGCTTTTCATATACTTCTCTCACTACACTTCCCAGAGTACAACATAAAACAGTGGAGCACACGGGGGCATGTTAGAAAGACACTGAAAGAAAAACTAGAGACATGAAAAAGGAAGGGAGTCCACCAACCTGTGAACCTGGCTTATGTCTCTCACTGTCATTGAGTCAAGAGCTTTTACCACTGACCAAAACAAAGAACCATACTTCGCTTGCTAAGACCTACCTAAATCAAGAGTATTAAAACAGCTGATAGCCAATCATTAAGGTCAAGGCACACACCTTACACATTTATAATCTTTGATTTTAAACTTACAAGTACTCAATTCTCATCCATAAAACTGAACATGTCTCATCAATCACTCCACAATTTTATTTACGAAAGAAATTTCTTAAAAGAAATGAGCAAACCAGGTTATTTTATGTAATTTTAAACTTCATTTACTTAATCTTTAAATCAAATTATAAATTATGTCTTCTGAGAAATAAAAGTTTAAAAGCTACAACAATAATCTATACAGTTACTACTATAAAACCCAAAAGAATCTTTGTTAATGCCCACATTCTCACCTGTCTTCCTGAACAAAAAGAACATGTTGAAGGGCTTACCATTTGAGACTTCAAGATATAAGATATATTACAGAGCATAGTAATAACAACAACAAAAGTACCAGCACAAAACACACCTAAATATGAATATGAGTAATTACAGCCATCTAATAGTGGACAAAGATGTCAAAAACATACACTGGAGAAAAGACAGCATCTTCAGCAAATGCTGCTGTGAAATGTAGAGAAATTTTAATCTAGAACACGGCTGCTCTAGCAAGAGATCACATCCAAAGGCCTCCTAGGTCTGTGTGATCCAGCTGGAAGACAAACATGCCTTTAATCTAGGAGACAGTATTCAAGGACAGTTTAGAATACCATGTATGCTGAAGTCACATGATCAAGAAGGCCCAAACTGGATCTGACCTGAAAGACTCCACCCTGAGCACTATGATACCAGAGGAGAGGTGAAGCGACTAGCAGTCCTACACAGCTATGATGCCTATGAAGTTAGAGAACCAGCATGGATTCAGACTGACTCATCTGGAAACTGTCTCCTGCAAGATAAGTTAGGGTCCCAGGAACACCTGAGTGGAGGTTCCTGGAGAGAAGTCCTTCAGGCTACAGAGAGGGCATCTTGGAACTGCATCTTGCCCTGCTGGTGACTAGGTCACCTATAGAACTTCTTTACTTCTTTATATATCTAGATAAGGATAAAAAAATTAAATACAGAAAATCAACTGGTAGTTTATTTCAAGCTATTTATTCTCCTTTTTGTTACTAAGTGCTGAAATACACATTCCTTTAAAATTGGCAATGTTATATGACATGGTGATACAATGGTTCTTGACAGTTTCAAAATCTCTTCGAATATGCCGAGTGCTCTTAGTAACACTAATGAAGGGACTCAACCTGAGCCCTAAGACAGCTTCTAGATACCCATTAACTAACAGTATAATTTCTTCAACTGTCAGTGTCCCCTTTCTTAAAAGCTTGAGCTCCAGTCCAGGGGTTGGAAGGCAGCTGGGCAGTGAGACAAACCAAAGTCTACTCCTTTGTAAAAGCACTGTATAGTCAACAATACAGTAAGTTCTTGAGTTGTCCTGACCCCTTTAAGCACATTCTCACAAACTTATACTAGCTGAAGTTTTATTAAATCTCTATAAATTAAACATTTTAGGGCCATTAACTGTTAGAAAAGAGACATTTTGAGTGTTTTCCACTTGATCTTAGCCATAGCGTCAAGCACTGATGTACTATCTACATACTGTCCATTCTCTTCTTAGTTTAGAATGTAAAATATATACATAATAGCATGATACCTGTGTAATATCACTTCTACTTCAAACTCATCTGAGCTACAATATGTGCTTTTACCATTACTAATATAGATTCCTGTATTTTCCTATTAAATTAATATCTCTTAATCATGTTATTTGAAAAACCTAACTTTCTTTTTAACTCTGAAAAGTCACGCAAATATGTAGTTTCTTTTAAAATGGAAACTACATTACGGCTCATTCACAGTTATGAGTTTATACTACATTACAAAATCTAGGGTCACAAGTTCAAATGGGTATAACCACACACAAAGGTAATGAAAATAAGTGCGTCAAGTGTAATACAATAAAAAAGTATTGAGGAACTGGGATAAGATGTCACCATGGTAAATGCTCTGAATAGTGTTCCCCCAAACCCTGGACGCCAAAAGCCTTCTTTGAAATATGCTTTTTAAAAAAAATGGGTAAATATACTCTTAAAATCATCCTGACTGCTACAGGACTCTGTAGGAGTCTGATGAATGAGACGTATTAATTGGAAATAGCCATTTTTTTTCGTTTTAATTAATGAGAACCATTTTAAGTGTTTTAAAGTAATGCACTATAGTAAGGGGCGGGGGAAGCGCATTTTCCCCTAAAGCACTGAATCTCCATACATGAATCTCTTATCCCTTGGACTTTTAGGACAAATCTTTCTCCCTTCCTGTTTATTATTCCTCTAGGATAAATTCGGTTTCGGTCTTCCGAAGCTTCCTACAAATTTCCTTCCCAAACTCGTACCGGAGACCACGTCCCTGTGCCAAAGCCGCAGGAGGAGGGGGAGAAAGAGTGAAAAGGGGCCTTGGCACGCCCGCCCGCCAGGAGCTTTGCAAGCAGCAGTGTCGCCCTGGGTTCCCCAAGACTCCACCCTCCGGAGCAACCGGGCCAGGCCCAAAACGTTCTGATGCGAAATCGGTCCTGCTCCCCGGCAGGCGGGCGGGCGGGCGCGGGAGCAGAGGCTGTGGAGGCTCTGCCTGGCCTCTGCCGCGGGGATGCCGGTGGAAGCGAGTGCGCACCGGCCAGACCCCGAGTGCCCAGGAGCGCTCCAACTGCACAAAGCCGGGTTCCCCGCCCCGCATCACGCCTGCAGCCACCCACCTGTGCCTGGAAGCCGACACCTCAGGACCCGGAGCGCCAAAAGAAGTGCTGCGCAGCGCCGGGGCGAGGCGGCGGCCCGAAAGGGCGAGGACAGCTCCAGGTCCAGGTCGCCGCGAGCCCCGCCCCTCCCCTGGCCCCGCCCCTCCCACCGCTCCGCCCAGCGCCCGGATGGCCAAGGGTCCCGGATGTGCCTCCCTTCGGTACTCCGAGGCCCCGCCCTTCCCCGGCCGGGCGGAGCGCGCTACGGATGCTGAGAGGCTGAGGAGGCGTCTCCACGTCTCCCGGGTGGCTAGAGCGTCCTTCCGTGCTCCGTCGCGCTGCAGGTGACGGCGCCCGGAGGCTGTCGGGAAGTAGGCGGGGTGACGTGAGGTTGACGCTCGGCGGCGGGTTTTGCTGAGGTCCGAGGCCGGTGGCAGCTGGTGCTGGGGGCTTCGCAGAGCGCGAGGTGGAGCGGGGCGGCGCGTGGCCGGGGCCATGACGAGCAATGCCGGGGAGTGGTGTCTCATGGAAAGCGACCCCGGGGTCTTCACCGAGCTCATTAAAGGATTCGGTGAGCACCAAGGGGGCCGTCCTGGGCCGGGGGTTCCGGGAGGAGGCCCACGCTGGGCCAGGTGACGCCCGGCGTCGGAGAAGCGACTTCGGGGACTGGAGTCGGCGTGTGTGGAAAGTAGGGCTTCGGCCGCGACCTCGGCCCGGGGCCGCCGCGTCTTCGCAGTGATCTTGGGAGCCGCACCACGAGGGCAAGGACTCCCCCTCTGCCTTGTGCACTGCTGTGTTCTCCGGACTTGGGACTCGGATTCTTGAATTGACTCGAGCGCCTTCCTTCCCTGTCTCCCTCCCTCACCATCTCCTCCGCGCTTATCTTGTCCTTTCCGCTGTCCCCTCCCTGCGGATCCTCCCTGTCCCCGGTGTGGTCAGGTGCAACGCTCAGGCCGTCGGTCCTGCGGAGCAGCCGGTCTGGGGCGTGTGTTTCCAGGGTGGTGTCTGAGGCTCCAGCCGCCCGGGAACTCGAGATTCTAGTTTCTCGAAGCAGAACTTTCCACCTTCCGTGTGTGGGCACCTCTTCCGGACCTCCAGACGCCGTCTACGCGGGCCTGCACGCTGCCTCCCTCGTTCTTTACTCCCTCCATTTTTGTCTTCCGGTGAAGTTGAGTTTTCTTGAGGTAGTGCTCACGCCGAGAGCTTACCTCTGAAAGTCTGACTTCTTCCGTATTAGTCAACCAATAGGACATTTTGTCCTTCGTCATGTTACCAGCCTCTTTGGGGAGGGTTTTTCCTCCCCTCATTTTAATTTTTTCTTCAGCATTGTTTTTATTTTTATTGTTAAAATTTGTACCCGAAATACAGCAAACGTTAATGTAGATTTATCTATTGTACGTGGCTGAATATTTCGACTGTTACCTAGCATATGTTCAACTGTACCGCGGGCATACAGTTATGGAGTTGGGAATTTTAATGTGAACTGAAGAACTGAGTCCAACTATAATAATATGTGCTCTTAGATTAAGAGTATTCAGAAACTGTTTAAGCACATAGATCTTGGAGAAGCTGGGCAAAAGGAAGCATAGTCTGTAGTGCATTTACCTGGATGTAGCTTATGGGGCAGCTAGCAAAGTGACTAAACGTGGGGTAATGGATGCGCAGGCAGAGTGTAGATCTTAGGTGAAATGGTGAACTCATGCCAAATTACATCCCATATTGTATAGATTCGGTTGCCCTGTAGTCGATGGGGACTTACTTTGAAAAAAAAAATTGAATGAAGTTCAAAAAGTTTGAAATAAAATTAGTTTGTGATTAAGATTGATTATGCTTACAAGTGTTCAGAGTTATGATAGAATAAGACAAGAGAATCTTTTTGAAAATGGTAAGTGTGCGGGTGATTGGCTTGACATTCAGTCATGGGCTACAGAAAAAGTGGAGTCAGTATTTATGTTGTATTTCACTCTGAAGTTGCATGTGGAAATACCTTCTCCTCATTCTCTTTGGAGCAGGAATACATCCAGAACATGCTACATTAAAAGAGGAGTTCTCAGGGCTGTCAACCTTACAGTAGAGGTTGAGTGGTAGTATATTTCTCCTACATAAAAAGAAAAAAAATTTACAGGGGTTGATTGAGGGCAGGAAAGAAGAGACAAAAATGACTTTAGTTCTGGCTTGAGTGGCTAATAAAGTACAAGTAGAAGAATAGGATTGATAGGCAAGAAAATCAGTTTTGGACAGTACTGAATTTGAAGTGGTCACAGGTTATGTGATAAATTTTACCTTCAGAATCTTAGCTGTCATTTAAAAAGTTGACTTTCAGAGATAGTGGCCCAAATAAGTTTATTTTTAAATTAATGCAATCTAGGGCTGGTGACCCAGGTTTCTTCCCCAGAGCCCATGGTAAAAGGGGAACCCTCCCGAAAACCCTCATTGTGGCACATGCACATTAGTACTCTGTCACACATGTACACAATACGAAGAAAGAAATTAATGTAGCTCATAAACATTGGAATTTGAAAATAATTTTGATAAAATTAGATGTTAGAGTGACAATCTGAATACATCTGCACATTAGTAAAAATAAAACAAGTTATTAATGGATGACCACTAATGTAGAAGAATTTTGCAAAGTGTTAAATGAAGGTAATTTGTATCAGCTGCTTCAAAAAAAAAAAAAGAAATCGCTTTATTCTAACTATTTTCATTTTTTTTTCCCCTGTCCAGTTATTCTTTTTACAATAGGGTTTGGAAGTTAATGCTTTTGAAAGTGAAACCTGTTTTATGAATACTATTGAAGATTTTTTGGGGGAAACAAACGCAGTATGTAACATAGCCTAGACTAGTATTTGCTGTGTATATAGTTTTAATTCACTTTGTTGATCTAGGTGTAACAAGATACAGATGTCTTTGTCATGAGAGAGGAACTTTTCTGTACTGACTGACCCATGCTTTAGGATAGATGTGAATTACTTCATTGTTTCCTTGAGATTACATCTCTTATGATCACATCTAAGATTTATTTTATTCTGAGGAAAGAGACAAGTCAATACTTGGCTTTCGCCCAAGAAATGCAGTCTTGAGAGGTTCATAAGTATTGTTTATAATTGTTGGGATCCCCAAAATAACACTGATTGATGTAAAGGGTATCAGTCTCTAAGTTAGGGCTCTCAGTTAAGTTCAAATTGTGTAGTCTTTTTTTTTTTCTTTTTAAGAGAGGTTATGTTCATATCACTAGCCACACGATATATATATATATATGCTCTTTATGTATATGATAGGATAAGTGAGAATGGGGTGAGGGAAATTTACGGGAGTGTTCTTTGTCAGGGGGGAGAAGCTGGAGTCATCTCTACTGCACTTGATAGACTTGATGACGCTGTTAAAAGAATGAAAAATGGTTGTAAAGACACCTGTTGGAAGATAGCCCAAGCAGTCATTTAAGGCACTAACAACATTTTGGACGAACCTCACCCAAGTATTTTTCATAGGGAAGGGGGCTCCAGGTGTATTTTAAAAAAAATTATTGTTCTATATGGTTTGGAGAATCATCCCTGATAGCTCTACTCTTGGTTTGGAATAAGTGAGAGTTTATTAAGTATAAAGTAAATAAAAGTAAAAGAACACCTAGCAAAAGATGGAGAGGTGAATAAAATACCACCAAATGGGGACTGGAGAGATGTCTCAGTGGTTAAGAGCATGTATTCCTCTAACTGCTTGTAACTCCAGTGACACGGATCCTCTGGGTCCCAAGGAAACATGAACTTAGATCACATACATATGCACAATTTAAAAATTAAAATAAACAAAACAAGCCACCAAACACTTAAAGGGCATCACCATAGGCTGCAGAGTTGAGCTTACTGAGCAGTTAAGAGCACTGGTTGCTCTTCCAAGACCCGGACTTGATTCCTATCACCCACATGGCAGCTCACAACTGTCTATAATGTCAGTCCCAGGAGAACCAGTGCTCCATCCTGACCTCTGTAAGTACCAGGTGCACATGTGGTACACATACATACAGGTAGGCAAAGCACTCATACATTAAATAATTAAATCTGAAGGGGGGAAAAACCCTAAACCACATCAAATCAAGTACTTAAAACATCCAACAGAAATCCAGTGGGGAATTCCCTTTGAGGTGGTTGGCTGGAGATGCCCAAAGAGTTCTGGGCAGAGCAGAATGTCCTTTCCATTTAGCCTTCCAGGTACAAGAGCAAATCAACATTCACAGCATCCAGCAGAAACTAACTGGGGATGTTGAGGCCAATTTAATGATGTTTTGCTGTCTACCTGTAATTTACTGATTGTTCGTTTACTTTGACTTGCTATATATTTAATAAAATCACTCATTCAAAAAACCAAAGGTATGACTATTGTAAATCATTCTTCAGACCATACAAAACAATTTTATTTTTTTCTTTTGGTTAGGAATGGGAGACTGATGCAGGAGAATCACAAGTTCAAGGTCAACTTCAGTTGATAAGTGAAACTCTTATTAAAAAGCGGAAAATTAAAATTTTTTGAAATTAGTTTGGAGTTTTACAGTTGTATAAGAATGACCACTAGTATCAATATAATATGCCAGTGCATAAGTATTTTAAAAATTCTGTCATTTTAATTGTAGAACCTCCGTAGAAGAGTGTTCTGGTTTGAATGACAGATTATATGATTTATGGTATAGGATTTAGTTCAATTACTCATGAAAATGTTCTCGTGAACATGAGTAGTAATGAATGATCTATTATTCAGCCCTGAACTTGAATATATCCTATGTATCTTTCATATTATAAACCCGCACTGTCTTTAATTTGAATGTATTGGATTCATTGGGCATATAAGTGTTATAATCAGTTTTTAATTTAAGATTGTCCTTGCCAGGGTCTGCTACTGCACATGGCACATAAAAAGTGTTTGATAAATAATAGTTCATTAACTTCGAAAATTCTTTCTCATCTTGTGTGGCTGTATGTGTGTGTGTTTTTGTGTATGGTTTGCCCATATTCGTGTTTGCAGTGGCTAGAGGCTGATGGTGTATGTTCTTCAGTTATTTTCTACTTTAGTTTCTGAGATGGAGTCTCATGAACCTAGATCTCACCTGTTAGCTAGGCCAGCTGGCCAGTAAGCTCCAGAAATCACCCTGCCTCTCAAGGGCTATGGAAGCCTGTTCCGTTTGGCTTTTTTTGTGGGAGCTGGGGATCCAAATTTAGGTCATGCTTTTGGGCAGGCACTTTACTGCCTGGGACTTCTCATCTTTTTATTTAATATATAATAGAGTTTGCATTCAGTTCTTTGTGTTTGGTATTTTTTACCTCCTGCTTTTGTCTAAAAGGAAAACTTTTTGTTTTCTTTATTTTTTTCTTTAGACAAAATAGGTATTAACTTTTATTTGTGTGCGTTTGAGGACAGCTAAGCTTGATTTTGTTGTCTCCTTTCTCAAGGTTGAGCTTTTAGGTAGCCAGGTGTGGTGGCACTTGAACAAGACACATGGGATGAAACGAACTTGAGTGTAGACTTTTGTTGTTCTGTGCCAGGGATTGAATCTAGGTACTCTTATCACTGAACTAAAAGAGAAGTTTCTATAGGGAATGTTAGTCTTCCAGACAACTGCAAACAAATGTGGGCCTTAATTACTAGGAGCTGTAGTGAATTCAGGCAGACAGCTTACTATCTTGAATATTCTTGTGTTAAGTCATATTTTGTAGTTTTTAGAAAACCATTACCCAAAACTCTACACAAAAGAGACACTGGTAGACATAGTCATTTTTATGTTTTGTAGTAACACTAGCTACCATCTAGTGGTCTTCAGTATAGTATATTAAATATGTCTTATTTATTCTCATTTGTGTCGCATAACAACTGTATAAGAGAAGATATAGAGGCAGAGTAGTCATATGTAGTAAATAATGGAGCCATGACTTAAATTTAGCAGTTAAGAGGCTGAGCGCTTACCACATGACTACTATGGTACTTCTAGAATGGAGTTTTTTAGCTGGGGATAATACTCTTGGTTAGAAAATTCTGGAGGTCCTGAACTCCTGTATTCAAATCATCCTCCCTCTCTTAGCTTTTCTAGTACCTGGAACTGTAGCTGTATTATCTCATCCAGCCAGATAATTTATGTCCTCTGTAATGTAGGATTTTGTCGTTATCTCTTAACTCTTCTTATTAGATGCCAGTGGTAATTTTCCACACTAGTGACGATTTAAACAAAAGAAAACATTCTATAGACATTGCTGTATATTTCCAGGGATACAGAATAACCATGGTTGGAAAACTGGTCTAGAGCAGTGTGCTTGGCTTAGGGAAAGAGGCTAGTTGAAAATATATATTTGGAATGTATCAAAACTGAAGATTGAAAGTCAGTGTTAAGTGCTGTTCTTTCATATAAGAAAAAGGTTATATAATGTTTTTTGAAAAGTTAAGGACAATAAGAATCATAAAGACCCAGGGATTGAGTAACATGGAAGGCAGAGATCACCCGGTTCTGATTTGAAGCAAATAAACTCTTGAAACTTAATACTATGCTCTCGCGATGTTACTGTGAAACAATAGAGGCAGGAAAACTTGGCTCAGCGTGTTAGCAGTTTTACCATTTTTCTTTGTAATGTCTGGTTGCCCTGGAATGTACCTTTCTTTTAGTTAATATTTTATTTCTTGGTAAAGGAGAAAATAATTTGTTTTCTAAAGAAAGTAACTTTTTGTTTCAGGTTGCCGAGGAGCCCAAGTAGAAGAAATATGGAGCTTAGAGCCCGAGAATTTTGAAAAATTGAAGTAAGTGAAGTTTTACTTGTATTTATATACATTTAAACACACTTTTAAAGATACTCAGACCTATTCATTTTTACATGAATTATCCTAGGCTGAATACATTTAGGGTTCTTTTTTTTTTTTTTTTTCAATCCTTTGGGATAAGTATTATCCTGAGTTTATAACCAAGACCCTGAGATTTCTGTGTAAGTTATATACAAGAGATTAAAATTATCTACATTTTTATAGCAATAAATTCTTAAAATTTACTTACAGTTCAATAGAGTTAACCTTAGAATGCATTTTAATCATTAAAATAATAAGTAATAGTCCATAAAATCTTTAGTGTTCAAACACTGTTTCATTGCTTCCTGAGAAAGTTAAAAGTTCAAATTCTAATTGTTGATGCTAGGAAGACTCTTTCACCCTCTTTCTGATCAGAATCTCCTCACAGGGCTTAAGTCAGAGGTAAGACTGATGCAGGAGGAATAAACTCCTGGCAAGTGATGGATGTTTAGATAGTTCTAGGCCTGGCCAACTAGGACTGTGTAGTGACCTTCTGTCTCTACAGACAAACAAAAAACATTGACTCTAATTGCAAATGGAGGACGAAATGAGTTTTTAGTTTGGAGAGTTCTTAACGTTTTACAGTAGAGACAAGAAATAGTCTTTGAGGGGGAAAATGGCAGCCAAACCTAATGTTTCATTATTTGTACTCTCAGAATTTAGGAGACTGAGGCAAAAGGACTCACGAGTTTGAGTCCAGCTTGGCTATATAGAGAGTCTTACCTGGGCTACAGGAGTGACATTTTTGACAAAAAAGCCTATAAAGTAAATAAAATAAAGGGGCAAATGGTTACTGATAGCTACTGTACTGCTTTTAGTACTAAGAAAAAGATGAGCTTTTTTTTCTCCCACTTTCATCTTCCCCATAGAAAGAGCAGTCATTGGAGACAAAATGAGAGACTAATTCTGGTTGAAATCAGGAAAGGTTGACACAGTAAAAATGTGTCATTTGAACTGTATTTTAAAATACAGTAAAGTTTTTTTTGTGTTTTGTTTTTTTGGGAGAAGAAAGCTGTCAAAAATAAGAAGAAATCTTAAATAATGGCTTAATTTGTCTTATAATCCCATTAAGAATGAGTAACATCATTATGTATGAAGTGGCAGTAGACATTCATGCTATAGTTTGAAGATTATACATAAAGTCAATAATTATACAGTGACCTTCTAGAGCTAATAATGTGTATGCTGTCAGCTGCTTTATATAAACACCCTATATACTGGAATTTGATATAAATAAATAAATAGCTTCTGGTTTTACTTTGTACTTTATTTTTGGTTTCTCTTGTTTTATGACAGGGCCACTAGCTGGACATGGTGGTGCATGCTTTAACCCAGCAGCACAGGCAGGTGGATCTCTGAGTTTGAGGTCAGCCTGGTCTACAGCGTGAGTTCCAAGAGAGCCGTGGCTATATAGAGAAACCCTATCTTTAAAAAAAAAAAAAAAATACAGGCCACATGTAGAGCAGGCTGACCTCAAATTTCTGGTCTTTTTGCCTCTACCTTCCAAGTACTGGGTTTGTAGGCCTGTGCTACCACGTTTACTCAGTCATTTTTCTATTTTTTTTAAAAAAATAAGTTAATAAAAGATAAAATTTAATTTTCTACATATTTGAGAATAAACTTTTTATATAATTCTGTTCTAAGTGACCTAGTTTTTAGTTTTATTAGCTTTTAAGTCAGCATTCTAAAGACTATAAATGACTACCTTAGTTATAAAATTTTCACCTGATTTAGTTAATTTGCATTCTCTTGTTAAATGGCTGGCTATGACTTAATATTGATGATGTATATAAAAGAATCTGGTTTTGGTGTTGCTAATTTAGTTTTTTATTTTGTAGGCCAGTTCATGGCTTAATTTTTCTTTTCAAGTGGCAGCCAGGAGAAGAACCTGCAGGCTCCGTGGTTCAGGACTCCAGACTTGAAACAATATTTTTTGCCAAGCAGGTATGGTCTATAGATTCTCTGAAAAATTGCAAGAGCCAAAGGTCTCTAGTCTCTTATTTTTTTATATCATATTTATCTAGTCTCTTATTAGATCAAAATTTAATAAACAATTTTCACTGCTTTTGTAAATGATATTTTTTAATGAAACTGCTTCATTAAATTTTTTTAAAACTATTTGCATCTAGTTTTGTACTTCCTTTTGTTGTGTACTTTCTTTTTGTTACACATTTAAAATTTATTTCCAGAAACAACTTTTGTTTATATGATTATCTCCTAGTATTTAATGTCTTGATAATAAAACTGAGATACTTAAAAAGTAATCTGTTGATTAAAAAATTAGCAAGATTATTACATGTTAATATAAATAGCTTTTGGACAAACTCAGGACCTTTAGCATAGCAAGCAACCTTCCATAACACACTAATATTCTGAACCTCAGATAGCATATTTTAAATGAAAACAATTATATTTACCAAACCAAAATTAAAAAGTTCCAAAAAAATTCATTGTTTTAAATCTCAAATGTGTATCATGTCTGGATTAATGGCACCCAGAAAGAGTATGTCTTCTGTTTCTCCATTTAGCTTGTCTTTGTTTACCTTTGGTTGAAGAAAGCGAAGAAAATCTGTAATTCATTATGTGTGTAATTAGAGAGGAGTAAAAATAAATTTTAGATAACTATAGTATTTTTTGACACTGTATGGAAACTTCAGACGTGATTTTAAAAGTCATGCTGAACTAGGAGGTGGTGATGCAGGCCTTTAATCTCAGAACTCAGAGGGGAGGCAGAACTTTCTGAGGTAGAGGTCAGATTGGTCAGTGTAGTGAGTTCAGTCTCACCCAGGGCTGCACAGTAAGACCTTGTCTCAAAAACAAACACAAAACAAAAGAAAAACGAACTTGTGGAATGTGCCTTGTGCTTTGTTAAATTCCTTTGGATCATTTTACCCTTTGTCATTTTTTTATTCTATGTGATTGTGTAGCAACATTAGTCATTTGGAAAACTCACTGTTTACATACTTCATTTAGGTGTTTGTAAATTTGAACTGAGGATTGTAGCAAGTCACATTTGTTAAAATCCTCTGTATTAGAAAAATTGTGTCATGAAATTTATAAACTTAGGGTTTGTTCAGAATTTTATAAAATTCCATTTTTTTTAAAAAAGATTTATTTGTTTATTATGTACACAGTGTTCTGCCTGCTCGTACTGGCCTACATGCCAGAAGAGGGTACTAGATCTCATTAGATATGGTTGTGAGCCACCATGTGGTTGTTGGGAATTGAACTCAGGACCTTTGGACGAGCAGACAGTGCTCTTAACCTCTGAGCCATCTCTTCAGCCCCCTAAAACTCCAATTTTTATTTGAAAATTCAAATCAATGATAAACACCTGTCAGATTTCCTTAGAGCTGTAGGCTGATATTACTTATGTTACAGAAAATGTTTGTCAGATACTCTCGATGAAGTCATGTTGGCCAGTCATTTATTCTCTCAGGTAAAAATGACATTCCAGAGAAAAGGCAGCAACTTAGCTGAAAACTCAAATAATCACAGAAGTGCTGTTTCCCAAACTAGCATTTCTTAGTAATGTGCTCTGTAGAAGTTATTTGTACTTCGTTTTCCATTCCACAAAATAGTAAAGATTTGTGCACCCAGATTAAAATTTAATAAAAACAGTTTTCACTGTTTTATAAATGACATTTTTCAGTGAAGCTGTTGCATTTAAAATTTTAACTATGTAAGTTAAATTGCTTAATACTATTGTTTGGGTTTTTTGTTTTTTAAATACATCATTACTTTTATGCCATCAGCAAGTAAAAAAGCAGGGAAAAGGTAAAAACTGTCTTAGAAACGGAAGACCTCTGAAAGACTACTCAAGAGGGTATTGAAGGAGATACTGAGACTCATAGCTAAACTCTGGGCAGAGTGTCAGAATCCTTATGGACAAACAGGGAGATAGAAAGACCGGGAGGGAACAGGAACTCCACAAGGAGAACAACAAAGCCAAAATACCTGGGCCCAGGGGGTCCTGTAGAGATCAATATTCCAACCAAGGACCGTGCATGGAGAGGACCTAAAACCCTGTTCAAAAGAAGACCATAGGCTGCTTAGTTTTCAGGTGGGTTCCCTGTAAGGGGTACAGGGGCTGTCTCTGACATAAACTCAGTGGCCAGCTCTTTGATCACCTAGGGTGCAGCCTTGCCAAGCCACAGAGGAAGATGATGCAGCCAGCCTTGATGAGACCTGATAAGCTAGGTTCAGATAGAAGGGGAAGAGGACCTCCCCTATCTAGGGGACATAGGGGAGGACATAGGGGTAGAAGAGGGAGGGTGGGAGGGACTGGGAGGATATGAGGGAGGGGGCTGCAATAGGGATACAAAGTGAATAAATTATAATAAATAAATAAAAATTTAAAAATTTATGAACATAAATATCTTTGTAATTTGACCATTACTAACCACCTTTAATAGTTTGACTCATTTAATCAATAAGTAGACTATCTGTTACACAAATTTTAAGCATTTATAAAATATAATATTGAAACTGAAAGTTCATACATACCTTGTATTAGAGGTGGTTACTGTTAAATTGTTGTATTTTTCTTTATGTGTTTCTAGTGTTTGTCTATGTGTATATTTGTTATTTATTCCACTTTAGCCTATAAATCTGAGTATTGGGAATTTTGCTTTTAAATACAGTATATGGCTTGTAGTATGTATCCAGTAAATGGAGACTGATCTGTTTGTATTAAAACTGTCATGATTAAAAAACTTTGGCCCACTAAGACATTAAATTTAAGATGTGTGGTTTAATCAAGCCTAACTATATATATATTTTTGTTGTTGTTGCAGTAGTAGGTTTTATTGTTGGTGTGATTTTGTTGGAGGGAGGAAGGATGTTTCAGTATGTAGCATAGAATAGTCTGGAACTTGGCATCTATCTGAGCCTCCCAAGTGTCGGGATTACAGACATGTGCCCTCTATACCTAGCTAAAGGCTTTGCTGTTGGTAAGGTTTAAAAGATTACTTGATATAAAAGAGATGATCCTATAGTGAGAATTTATAATTTCTGATGTCCTTTAATTATTTTCTTATTTATTACATTTATGTTTTTTAAATGTTTTTTGAGATTAAAAAATCATGTGCTTTACTTGCATGTATACCTATGTACTACATGCATTGCCTGCAGAGGCAAAGAGGGCATTGGATCCGCTTGAATTGGAGTTACAGACAGTTGCTAACCACATGTGGGTTGGACTCAATCCTACATCCTCTGGAAGAGCAGTTAGTGCTCCTAACCACTGAGCCATCTGTTCACCCACTCCCTGTTACATTTCTATCTTGCTATAATTTAATGTCTTATTTGTATTGTACTATTATTATACTTTAGATGTCAAATTAATGATTTCCCATACAATAACATTTTATTCTGCATTACAGGTCAGTTTCACTTTAATATTTGTTAATTTGCTTATTTTATATTTCGTATGAGCCTGTTAGAATTATTATATAAATATATCATCCCTGATTTTATGTTTTAAGGATTTAAATGCTTACAGTGAAGAGTACTAGATTTTTAGGAGTGCTTTCAGAAAGCTAAAAAGTGCTTTTGAACTTGATGTGATCATACTTTGACGTCTGAAACAATACATTGCAGTAATATGGTTGCCATATTACTGAAAGCTAAGTCATGATCTACTAACTTTTCTAGTTAACTGCATCTGTTCTGCCTTTTAGGAGAGAGTTGATTGAGTAGTTAAAAACACACATGAACTTTACAAACGATGGTACACTCACTGTGATTTATTAGAGCTGGTAAATAGATCAAAATCAATAAAGAAAAAGGTTGTGTGAAGCAAAATCCAGAAATCCACAGGGGGAACTTCCAATTGTATTTTGCCAGTGTTGTTACAGATGCTACTAACTTTTCATATTGTGCTTTTTGACATTACACAAGGTATTGTCTTCAGGGAAATTTCAACTGATTTGTAGTGATGCTGTTTTTTATAGATCTGGTGGTTGTTCATGTCGATTACTTTAATCTTCTGACTCACTGGAGACAGCTGATAATGCCGACCCAAAGTCGCCACTCTAAGGCACATTGTTAGTATATAAATATGGCACAAAGACCCTAGATAAAGACATCTTAGGCATCACTTTTTGAGACCTCCTAGGCGGGGAAAGACCAAGGAGTCAAACTTTTGAGGATGGAGTATTTGCTGAATAAATAAATAAAGGATTTGACCTTGTTAAGGTCTGAACAGGCTGCTCCAAGTAAGTAGTAACTGTAGGTTAAGTAGGTATTAACCAGTGGTAGAGGCTGGGGGTCATTCCAGATTAACAGCAGCTTCATGGTAAAAGGAAATGTGACTAGTGAAAATACTAAAGGAAGGCCAGTGTAGCCAATTGTGGACAGCAGTGGGGAGATGTTGTGGGACCTGAAGTTGAATAGTCAGAATCAGGTAGGTTAGATACAGGGTTAGAGAAAGTGGCCTTCCAGCAAGTATTTTCTTTTATGTCTACAAACTGTCAAGGTTATAGACAACAATTTTGTTACTTTATGACTGTCTGCTATTTCAGAGGTTTTTCATGGTCCGAGATCATTGCCAGAGCTTTGATTACTCTACCGCAGTTCCAGACTCCAGACAGTAGAAAGTGGGCAGCACACTCTGTTGTCTTAATGGACGTGTATAGACCTTGTCAGTGTCTTAGGCTTACTTCTTTTTAGTAACTCGAATTAGCAGAAGAAACTAGGAAGATGTCTTTATTCCCGGTTGCCATGGACCAGGCCAAAATTTGGGCATTCAGCTCTTAGATTAGATGAAAGAAGTGTAGATACTGGAGAACAATTGTCAGATTATACCTGGAGGAAAGAGACAGAGCATGTAGTGTATTTTAGACTGATCTTTTAAGCTGATTAAGACTTTTTTTTTTTTTTTAGCAATAGTTACACATTTTAGAATTAAACAGTGAAAAAAATAAGTCTCTCAGGGTTTTCAG